TCAACGTTCAATGACATAACCACTGCTGAATCCCCAACTGTCAACATTCTTGAGCTTATAATTGTCCAGAAACTGAACTGGACCAGACATACAAGTACTGTGACTACAAGGTTAGGTCAGGGGCTAGCAATTCTGAGCTGAATAACACACATCCTGAGTCCCCAGTGTCAGTCTACCATCTACAAGGTACACGTCAGGAATGTGATTGAACACCCTCCATTTACTAGGATTAGTGCTGTTATATGTGCAGGTAAACTGAGTCTGCACTTCACCATGTCCAAGTTTGCTGCCACCATCCTCTAAGTTTTGGGATCTATGGGACCTATTTAGCATGGTAAAGGAAAACCACTTACTAGTCTGACTAGAAGAGTCTCTTGTACTGAACAAGAAGTAGTTTATTGCATGTTAGCAACAAGTTACAGACTATGTTTTCATGATGGAAATAAAAACAGGAGACCCTGAAAAAAAAAGAACTGGGAATGTTGGAAATCAAACATAAAAACAGAAATTGCAGGAAAATCTCAGCAGATCTGGCATCATCTGTGGAGAGACAGCAGAGCTAATGTTTTGGGTTCAGTGTCTTTTCTTCAAAACTATTCTGAAGAAGGATCACTGGACCCAAGACATTAACTCTGCTTTCTCTCCACAAACTCTGGAAAAACCCAGCAAGTCCAGCGACACCTGTGAAAAGAAAGAAATAAAGTCCACATTTCAAGTCTGATATGGCTCTTCTTTGGAACTTGCACTCCTCTGAGATCCAGAGCTGTTCTGCTCACAAGTCCTGACGACATCATAATACTTATGGCATTGCTCAGTATTGATTCTTTCAGACTCCTAATCAACAAGTGTAGCTCAAAAATACTTAAGACACTTGATGTCATCCACACAAAGCACCCCCCTTGATTGGCACTCCATCTACCACGTTCAATATTGAGGATAAATCACAAACAAAACAAATCTGTCCTTTTTTTTAAAGAAAAGACTTTGTAGTAAAATGGTTGAATTTGCAGTGCTGTGATAAAATTATGTAATGGCAGTTTTCCTTTCAGTGGTTGGTGGTTATGGTGGGAAGAATTTAATGCTCTCTTGTGAGTTTAGTGGCAGGGGTCATTTAATCAGGCGAGACTGTGACAGGTGGGGAAATCTAGGTCCTTTTTACCACTACCCCAAACAGGAGGTTCTAAGTGATAGCTGAGTGCATCTGAGAGGTTACATATTGCTGACTGAATTTTTGCTGTCAAGGTGTCCTCTGGACTGCCGATTTCATCAGAAGAACCTGAACAAATCTTTATTTATTCATTTTGTGGCCTGTGGGTGTCGCTGGCTGGCCAGCATTTATTGCCCGTCCCTAGTTGCCCTTGAGAAGGTGGTGGTGAGGTGCCTTCTTGAACTGCTGCAATCCACCTGCTGTAGGTTGACCCACAATGCCATTAAGGAGGGAATTCCAGGATTTTGACCCAGTGACAGTGAAGGAACGGCGATATATTTCCAAGTCAGGATAGTGAGTGACTTGGAGGGGAACTTGGAGGTGGTGGTGTTCCCATATATCTGCTGCCCTTGTTCTTCTAGATGGAAGTTGTCATGGGTTTGGAAGGTGCTGTCTGAAGATCTTTGGTGAATTTCTGCAGTGCATCTTGTGGATAGTACACACTGCTGCTACTGGCCGTTGGTGGTGGAGGGAGTGAATGCTTATGGATACGGTGCCAAACAAGCGGGCTGCTTTGTCCTGGATGGTGTCAAACTTCTTGAGTGTTGTTGGGGCTGCACTCATCCAGGCAAGTGGGAAGTGTTCCATCACACTCCTGACTTGTGCCATGGACAGGCTTTGGGGAGTCAGGAAGGGAGTTACTCACCGCAGTATTCCCACCTTCTGACCTGCCCCTGTAGCCGGTGTATTTATGTGGTGATTCCAGTTGAATTTCTGATCAATGATAACTCCCAGGATGTTGATAGTGGGAAATTCAGTGATGGTAACACCATGTCAACGGGTGATGGTTAGATTGTCTCTTGTTGGTGATGGTCATAGACTGGCATTTGTGTGGCACGAATGTTACTTGTCACTTGTCAGCCCAAGTCTGGACATTGTCCAGATCTTGTTGCATTTGGATACAGTGAGGAGTCGTGAATGATGCTGAACTGTGCAAGCATCGGCGACTGTCCCCACTTCCGACCTTATGATGGAGGGAAGGTCATTGATGAAGCAGCTGAAGACGGTTGGACCTAGGGCACTACCCTGAGGAACTCCTGCTGAGATGACTGACATCCAGCAACCACGACCATCTTCCTATGTGTCAGGTATGACTATAACCGCCAAAGAGTTTGTCCCCGATACCTATTGATTTCAGTTTTGCTAGGGCTACTTGATGCCTTACTTGGTTGAAAGCAGCCTTGATATCAAGGGCCATTACTCTCACTCTCACCTCTGGAATATTCAGCTCTTTTGTCCATGTTTGAACCAAGGCTGTAATGAGATCAGAAGCTGAATGGCCCTGGCGGAACCCAGACTGGACGTCATTGAGCAGGTTATTACTGAGCAGGTGTTGCTTGACAACACTGTTGATGACACCTTCCATCACTTTACTGATGATAGAGAGTAGACCGAGGGGACGGTAACTGGCTGGGTTGCTCTTTATGTACAGGATACCAGTGTTGTAACTGTACTGCAATAGTTTGACTACGAGAGCGGCAAGTTGTGGAGCACAAGTCTTCAAGACTATTGCCGGAACGTTGTCAGGCCCTGTAGCCTTTGCAGTATCCAGTGTCTCCAACCATTTCTTGATATCACGTGGAGTGAATCGAATTGGCTGAAGACTGGTATCTGTACTGCTGGGGACCACTGGAGGAGGTTAATGTTCCTATGAACAGAATGATGCTTCTAACAACCTCTTTGGTTACCAGATCCAAGATGCTCATGATCAGTACTAGGGAGGTTAAAGAAAAATAACTGAATTTGGTGATCCCATCAAGAAGCCAATGTGAGTTGACTTTAGGCTTTTATGGACCCATTGGAGGAGTCCTCTTTCGAGAATATTTTTGTGGTACGATTATCCTTTATATCGTAAAAAGATTCCCTAGATTTACAATTTCATTTAAACCACCAGTGAGTGAAGAATCAGACACCTGAAGTGAACATTTTGATACAGTTGAGAAATGTGAAAATTTCTGGCATACTGTTATGCCTAGACTCCCAATCACATTCAAACTGGGACTTTAAATTCTAGACGGCTGGAATGGTTGTGGAACAATCCTCTTCCCTTGCTCCCTGTAATCCTGGGATGTTTGAGATTTCCTTTTGAAATACTAATCTCTAGCGCTGTCCACAGATGTCAGTGGCTCAAAACTGACATGAATTCCATGAGATATGTTAAAAAAAATCCCAAACTTCCAGTAATCAAAAAGGGAATCAGTTACTTTCTTGGGATGCCCATTTCAAAGGGAACAAGTGTTGATGAGTTTCTTCAGGACCTTGCAAGGGTGTCAAACCTCAGATCATCCAATCCTCCAGTTTCCTGGTCTGTGGGTTTGATTAACGTTAGAGCTGGAGCAAGCGGGGATTTGTCCCTGTGAAGCTTGTGTTAGTGGAGTGGATGCCCAGGAATTTCATGACTTGTCATTCAAGCATGATACCACTGTCTTTCCTTATTTCTTGAGTATATACAAGCAATTAAATAACTATTGAGAAATTTAATTAATCATGAAAGATTTTGAAAATAAATCATAAGCACGTAGGGACAAAAATGTACAAGCAATACCTTTAGTTAACCTCCCTTTGGCCCTCTCCCAACACCTCCCCCAAAAAAAGGCAAACAAAGGACCAACAGAAGATTGGAGTAAAGCTAAACTTGTTGTAAAGTCAACATGTAAAAGAAGAAAAATATCAAAACTAAATTTAAAATTAGGTATCTGGGATTAAACTGGTTGGATAGAGAACAAACGTTTCCAAGTATCGAGCCAGCCTATAAATAAATATAAGAATGAAAGATCATTTGTCTTGGAATAAAGTCTAAAGTGGATGAACCAAAACTAAATAATTGTATACCGTGGATATTTGGATGGAATTGAAAAATGCTGTAAGAATGGCACATTGACACTAATATTTTTCAAATGAAGAGATTAAGAGACAGGAGACAGAGTAGGGATAAGTAGGCATTTTCAAGTTGGCAGGTGGTGACTAGTGAATTGCCACAATATGCAGTGTGGAAGCTTCAGCTGTTTATAATCTGTATTCTAACTGACACTTGTTTTTGCCCAACATTCACCCCAGAGGCTAGGACCTGACATGTGGTGTATGAGTAAAAAATTTGTAATTAATGAATATGTTAAATAGATTTAAGTGGACTTTTTAATACTTGTCAATGTAATCAATCAAACAATTTAAATTAACGGGGCTTGGCCTGCTGTGTTCATCCAGCTCTACACCTTGTTATTTCAAACAATTTAAATTGTTAGCTTCACCAGTGGCAAAAATATGTGAATTTATCTTAAATATAATAACATATATACAGGTTTGCCTTGCTAAATCATTATTTAAATGCAGATAAACCACAAAAAAATTATAATGCTTTTGTATTATTTACAATTTTCACTTAAAAGATAACAAGTGTTCAGCCACCTTAATATTTTGCTCACAGTACATTAGATTAAACAAAAGTTTATCTCCTATCACTCAGCTGTGTCTTATATTGCTTAGCCTAGCAGATTAGAAGTTGTTCATTTAGACAGCAAGTTATAGCAAATGTGTTTATTATATCTATTAATGCCTCGGTTTTATGAAAAGACCATCTTCTCCCCCCTCCATGTACTCCTCCAGATTTCTATGAGCCGAGTCAGATGTACATTTCTTAAAGTCAGTGTGAAATTCATTGGTGACATGGCAAACTAACCCTTATCTTTACTGGAGCACGAATCTTAGAAGCAACACAAGATCTGTGTATTAGAAAGAGATCATATAAGGCCAAGAATGTCATATTAATTTTCTGGGGCAATTAATTTTATGGCAGATTCTGGAAAAGGATAATGAGCTACTCCGGGAGAAGGCAAAAGAAAATGAAGATAAATTTCAGATTCTTGAGAGAGAAAATGAAAAGTCTACAGCTCAGTGGAAAAAGGAGGTAACAGGAATTAAAATAATATGATATTTGTATGTAGATTTTATTATACTTTTAGTTAGTAGCTCAATTAATTGCAAAATCGTTTAAGTATAATATAAAATTAAAATAATGTTATAGAAATCTCTGTGCTTCTTCTTTGGCTGTTTTACGGTGTCAAAGAACTCATGCTAATGTTTCATCACAGTAATATAGATAAGATCGCTGAAGAACGACTTTGGTATTTTTGTTCCCAATAAATCAATCATCATCTGCCACCTTACTTCTGCTTCCATCTCATTTAACTCCAAATTTACTCCATCCAGAAAGAAGGGGACAATTTTTTACATACCTGAAGCAGACTGTTCTAGCCATCCATTGCTAGATCTATTTCAACAATGCCAAGCATAGCTGTATTTTGCTCCCCTCAGTTAAAACTGTCTGTTATTCCTACATCGTATTGGATAACAAGGACATCCCCAGGCTGTTTTTATATAAAATCCATCTTTTTTTTTAAACCATTCCACCTTCATCTCAAACATCAACTGCATGGTGCTCAAGAACTCCCAAATTTCTAAGAAAGAGACCACCCATGCCCTTGACTCTACTTCATCATCAAGACCCCAAGCCATCTTCTCTGTAGGTGGCCTGGGAGAAGAATTATCACTGGAGTATCTGGAACACAGGTAAATGAGGGAGCCTCATTGGGGCCTGGCAAGCAATTTTGCAAGTTGCAGGTAATTTGCAATTAATTGATCTGCTACCTGAAAGACCCTGGCTTAGGCAGCAGCGAGATGATGGGAGTTGTAGATTTAGAGGGCAGAGCAGGAGGTGGTCTTCCCATGGGAGTGGCCCTTGCCTCCTGCCGGTCCCAATGTAGCTGACAAACTATTTGGCATAACAAGGTGAAGAGCTGGATGAACACAGCAGGCAGCATCAGAGGAGCAGGCTGCTTGGCCTGCTGTGTTCATTCAGCTCTACACCTTGTTATCTCAGATTCTCCAGCATCTGCAGTTCCTACTATCTCTGAAACTATTTGGCAGCCTGCTTAGGTGGAGTGATCTCAGTCTCTTCCATGTGTCTTTTTACTTTAAAACTATTGTCACCAGACCTCAAAAGTAAATTAATATTGATCCTCTCCCATAATCAAATTCCCTTCTCCATAATCCCCGTGCCAATTACTAATGACATCAGAAATATACAGATAATGTGGGAATATGGCATTGAGGTAGATAGTCAGCCATGATTTGGAATGGCAGAGCAGGCTCAAAAGGTTGCATGACTCCTGCTTCTATGGTCCTCTTTTCCTAACTCTTCCACTCGTCCTTGATCATATTGTTGTTGCACAGTTTTTTGTCTTTGCATAGTTCTTGTCTTACCTGTCAAATGTAGTCTATGTAATTTCAACAACATTTTCTCCTTATTATGGGTTTCCTCCCATCCTGTTTCTCTGCATGCTGTTTCTCTACGACTTCAACAGCATTCACACGTTCATTAATAATAGCCAGCTCTCCCTCTCCATCATTTCTCTTAACACTTAACTGACTCTAAGCTGCGAAACCACATGTCCTAGTTGAGCCATAACCTTTTCTGACTTACAAGCAAGCAGGATAACGGGCTGTAGGAGAAACAAAAAGTGAGCTTTAGTCCTCATCAATGCTGTTAGCCTAGTTTCCAATTATCTTGGGTATCCCTAGCGCCGAATGAAGACCTTGCTCTGCCAAGACCATGTAGAAGCTGGTGTGAACAGTTATGCCATGTTAAAAGATCCGATGAACAGGCATCTTTCACACCCACAAAACGAGGTTTGGAAAATTAGGGCCCTCATGGATGACTCCATCAATTATAGACCTGGATGTCATATCACTATCAAAGCTTGTGAACTCTATCACTGACACTGATACCCTGAGTGAGACATAGCAGCCCAGCTCATAAACAAGGTAGCGAAGGATAAATCTAAGGAAGAGCGCAAACTCCATGGGCAAAACGTGGCAGCAACAGCAGTAACTCTGCTGTAGGAAATTCAGTGTCAAAGGTAAGGAAGCACCTGCCTCACGTTCAACCTGAAGATGCTCAATGAATAAGTACAACAAAATGTCCTAAGTGCCTGGTCTGCCCATAAGTCCATCATAAATAACATCTGCAAGGAGACTTTGGGTTTTGTTATACCAGGAAACATCAAGACTGAATTGACAAGAATGATGAGGAGATCCACATGTTAAGTTGCAAGTACAAGGTATTATGAACTGGAAGCACTGTTACTTCCTGAGAAAATTGAATAATATGAACAAATCAAACAGAGTTTATAAGGTTAATATTTCAATTTAAATGTAATCCTCTGGAGGTTAGTTGCATATTTTAGAAACTTTTGCTAGTATCCAGCTATTTGGATTTGTATGTCTAACTTATACTCTCTACTCAGTACAGTTTTGGTAGTTCTCAGTTCTGAAGAAGAGTCAGACAGGATTCAAAATGTTAACTTTCTTTATCTGTACATAAATGTGATCAGATCTGCTGACTTTCTTCAGTATTTTGTTTTATGATAGCGCTATTTCTGTTTGCCCATCATAGATCTCTTGCATTAAGTTCTAATAATTCCTTCCCCATTGGTGCTGGATGAAAATGAAGCAATACAATACAAATAACTTGCTTTGTCATTTGACACTTAATGATCATTGTCTTGATTTTACATCCACTACCTTCTCCTAGGAGTTTGAGCATGTATAGTATGGTAGTGTTGTAGCATGAATCGCTCCTCACTCAGCACACGTCTTGAAATGATTTGCAAAATTACTGTGGTCTGTTGTCAGATACCATCTGAACCAGAACTGTTGTTGCTGTTGACATGTGAAATGCCTCACATGCATTTATAGTCATTGAATATCCTGTTTCATCACTGGCAAAAACTGTCTTGTGCATTGAATACCAATGTGTCCCTGGTGTAACATGGTGTAACAATGTTTTTGGTATCAAGTCATGCATACCCTTGAAAATGACTTGTCATGATGTACAAAGTTTATCTATTGACGGTCAAAATGAACAAATCTTAATGCCATCAGGACATCTCTGGATAATGATCTTCTGGAATTCTTGAAGTTGCTTATCTTCAGCAGTTGTCAAATCCACATGTGCATATCGACTCTGACCAAAGTGTAAAATTAAACTTGGAGAACATCTTCAACTTTGTAGTCAATAGCGTCAATGTGTTGATTAAAAGAACAGATCTTGGTCTTTTTGGGTTGAATAATCTGCTGCCGCGCCAAAAATAATTATTCAACTACCTGGTTTATATCTTGCTTCAAAGTCACATCTTTGAACATCATTGACTGATTCGGTTACATCGCTTGAGATGTTTTCTAACACTTATCTATACTGAGATCTGTGCCTGCTACAGCAGGTGTCTACCAGTTAGAAGATTTTAGGAAGCCAACACGATTCTGCATTTTGGCAATGCAGTGCGATTTTGTCAATGCACGGAATTGGTGATCCATTATCCTTTGTGAGAAGGCCTCTTTTAGACTGTACCATTGAGTGCATCTTTTTGAGATGCATTTTAGGATGCATTTGATCATATGTTGGCACTGGCTCCCGTGTCAATTTTAGCTTTGTGTATTGTAAGGCATATATAAAATGTTACAAAAGCCTCTGATTACATTACACCGTCAACATGGTGTGTGAAGTAAATAATATAGAAAACTTGGTAATCTGAATTTGACCTTCATTTGGTTGACTCTAAACCTTATGGATGTATTTGCATTTATACACTTTTAACACTTGCCTTGATACCAGTGTTGTGGTGTTGTACCATCTTGCTTGTCACTTGTGTTTTGTTTTGGAGTCTGGCTTGGCTTTTGGTACCAGATTTCCTGCATGTGTGTCCAATGTCCCTTGGTGTTTTACATATGCTTTACTGATATCCAGGAAAGCTGGACAGCTTTGGGTAGTTGTGACAACTGCAGCTGTTACTAATTTTGTTTATTTGTTGAGTTTTGCTAACTAAAGCAATTGTATTTGCTGCAATTAAAGCAAGTAATTGTTGTAGGCCTGCCACTATGGGGTCACACTTGTGTTCATCCTCAAGTAATGCATCATTAGTTTGCCCTTTTCTTTGTCTAAAAGATACTTCCTAATGGCTTTAATTGGTGTGGTGATGATTACTGACCCATTGAGCATTTTTGACACTTCCTCTTTGGAAATGTCACACTCATGGCCTTTGCTATGGCATTTTCTGACAACCTAGTCAATAGACTCATCAGGTTGCTGTCGAAACGACGTGAGTTAGATTCTGTTAGTCCTGAAGTTTGTTCTTACCTTGGGTTGATCTTCAAGAACCTTCCAGATTTTTTCTGGATCTTCCCTGTTGTTCATTGGAAAGAATGGATGTGTTATTTCTATGAAGATTCTCCTCCTTACCAATAACAAACAAGATCTTTAGAGCTCTCTTGTTAGGATTATCTATTGCTTGGCCTACAAAATAGAACTGCATACATTGTTTGAATACTTGTAATTCAGTAAAGGTGTCACTGGATTTTCAATTCATAATTAGGTTTCTCCTGTCCATCATTCCACTTTAACAATTTTGGACTGCGGTTCTTTAAGCTGTGTGTCTTAATGACTGTTTCAATTAAAACTGCTCCTTAAGAATGCAAACTTTGTATCTGCTATTCTGCGAAGCTGTTATTTATGTTTTTATTGTCAGGAGCAGAGCATTCTAGCCTCCATCTTCTGTATTGCACTGCATTGCACTGCACTGGCTTTGTGTATCAGCTCAAAAGTCCATTGCAACCTTTTTCTTTCCTACGCAATCTTACATTTCTTTTGTCTTGACATGACATATTCCAATAAAAAAGAAATTAGCTGTTTTCTTGGAGTTTAATGCTGTATCTATAGTTGTCTGTATTCGCAGGAACTGATGCTGCTGACAAGTGAGAAATCCTTCCTTTGGCTGAATTATTTTGTCTGAAGCTGTAGCCCATTTGGTCTTCAATTATTTTGCCAACTATCTCCAACCAAGATATTGGAGTTTTTTCTAGATAGCCACAGCTGCTACCATGGTGTGAGTTTGCCCCCAACAAGGTGCTTTACTTGGTTTAGCTTGTGTTAACTCATGTATCACCATAAACTGGATGTGGATATCGTGATATTGAAGAATCCAACAGACATTTATTAAAACTTACTACTGTATACAAACATTACATTTTGTAGACCCCTTGTGTCTGGGCTAGCATTAAGCTAATAGTTTATAACAGAGGAATAAAGTTCCAGTAGAGTTTAATGCTTCAAGTGATCCAAGGGAAGATTGAGTATGAGCTCTTTATACCCTCAGGTTACATGCTATGATGATGTCATTAGCATGTCTCTTAAAAGTATACTGACATACTGAGACATAATACAACCGTGTCTGTACTATAATTTTTGCTAATATAGGGAACCACTCATTATAAGCAAATATTCAGGCATGTGTTTTTGGATGATGCCACAGGACATCATGGGATACAACCCAATTTAAAAAAAAGTCTTCATATTTTTGATTAATGGATAATTCACTATTTTCTTAGAGGAATGTTGGCGGGATGGGGGTTATTAAGCCATTTCATTTAAACCTGGAAATGTTATAGCCTCATTTTAATCATAAGAATTTGGAATATTTTTCATTAAACTGAAAATGGATACGCAACTGAGAATTGACCAGCATTGAACATTTAACAGAACTATAAACAGAATTAATTGACATTCAGTGTTTGCCAAATGTATATAATATTTTATAAGGAAATATGTTATAGCGAATATTTCATTCTTTTAACGCTCAGTATGAATAACACAGGTTATCATGTTGTCAACCCTGTTTTAATGAGCATGTAGTGTCTTGTTTACTTATTTGATTGCATCAACAATAAATGATACTATTAATAAAATCTTAAGATAACTTGAGGCATGTTACAAAACATATCATGCAGGTTAAGTAATTCATGTTATAATTCATATATTTTATCAAAAACACTAATTGATATTTATTCATCACAAAAATGTGATATACAAATCACGTTATTGTCATTTGATAGAATTTTATATGCAATGCACGTTGACCATGGAGGTGAAGTTTAATGACAATACTCCCTTAAATGAGAGTACCCGCAAGTTATAGAATCTTACATCTGCGCCAGTGCTGTTCTTAAACACGTCTTAGATCTGGTGAAATGCTTTGACTGGTAATTTTCCTTCACTTGTGGGAATATGCTTAAATGATAAATGTAGTCATAGTCATGATTGAAACCCACTGTTTTCTGTCAGTACTAACTTCACATTCAGATGAAGTTAAAGAAATGAAAGTTTTGATTTTACACATCTCACAATGTAAGAGTAAAAATCAGTGATTTTTGTTTTAAGGAGGCTCGTTTAAATGAAGAAAATCTCCTAATAAAATCTGAGTTAGAATCATTTAAAAAGGCTCATGCTGAGTGTCAAAAGATGCAAAGGAAACTATCTGCGCAGAATATACAACAAGGACAGGAAATACAGAGATTGCAGGCAAGTTTTTTATTGGTTTGAAGGCACCAGAATAAAATCTTGTGGCATTTAAAGGAACTGTAGGTTTCCATATATTTTATGTTGATCTATAAATATGTTATTTGGGTAATTGTGACATATTCAATATTTTATTGTGACATAAACCAGACAATATAAAGACATAAGAAAAAAGTTAAAAACCGAAAGAACTGCAGATGCTGTAAATAAGGAACAAAAACAAAGTTGCTGGAAAAGCTCAGCAGGTCTGGCAGCATCTGTGAAGGAAAAAACAGAGTTAATGTTTCAGGTCCAGTGACCCTTCCTCAGAACCCAAGAAAAATGTTGTTTTGTCCATCTACTGTAGCGTTATTAAAGCCAGAAGATTTGTTCTTAAATTATTTACTTGCTGCATGAACAAGTGGGTAGGCAGGACCTTATTAGCAATGGACCTGCATCTCTACCTTGTACCTATTATTTATATATATATTAGTGTGCTTTGTAATGAAAAACTCCATTACTGATCCCAGACATTAAAATTATTCACTTCTGAGGAAGGGTCACTCCACCCAAAATGTTAATTCTGATATCTCTCCACAGATGCTATCAGAATTACTGAGCTTTTCCAGCAATTTCTGTTTTTGTTTTTGATTACCACTATCCATAGTTCTTTCGGTTTTTATTAAAATTACTCAATTAATTTAGCAAGTTCAGTGTTGTGAAGAATGAAAGAAAAATTCTTGTTCCCAATTTGAACTAGATACCTTAGGATATGTTGATCTTGAAGTGTCCAGCCTCTAGGGAAGGATTTAAAATTGAAATTATTTGACCTGCCTTTCCCTGTGAAAGCCTGGCTCAGACCTTGATGGTCCTCATGATCCATTTAAGCCTCTCCCTGCGTACATTTTTATGATGTCCTTACACTGTGCTACTTGTGCTTCACTGAATGTAGAAGGACAGCCACATTGATACATGCTATTTTTGAAACACTGCCATGTTGAGAGACGGTAAAAATTTTTTGGGTGAATCATACCAGGAATCGGCTTAATTTCATTTTTGGAGAGTTTCGTGGAGGGTTTCATTCTGTGAGCCCTAGCATGTTTTCTTGTTCTACCTTAACAAACTTGCCTTAGTGACTATGCAACATACTCCTATTGCACCTGCTTGTAATATTCTTCCACTTGCTGCAGGTATAAGTTTTATTCACTGCCAACTCCTCCGAGGATTTCTGGAGCTGGTAACATTATTAAAGTCCAGCTGTAAACCTGGTCAAGCAGCTGCCCTGAACAATTTATTTGCCGCAGACCTGTCAGACACAGGGTAATTGGTGTCTTGCTATGCTGTTAGGGAACTTGGAGGCCTGCTGGATGGAGGGTGCATGTGGTTGCTGCCCTTGGAACATGCCCTGAGATGTCGGTGACAGATGGATGGCTGCAGGAACAAACAGTGTGCTGAAGTTGCCAGATTACTGCTTTGACTTCAGTTATTTGTTCCTCACCTAGTTTCAATGCAATGGATGGGAAATTGGAAATTGCATATTAATAAGGCATGAAGGTGTCATAATGAGGATATTAACAATATACTAAATCATGCAAATAGATCTCTCACTGCTCATTAGTGAGAATCTCATTCACTGTTCCAATATTTGGTTGTAAAATGAGACTTTTTGCTCTTGACAGCAGGATGCTTGTCACTGCTGATCTCACGATTCTCTCAACTTTCTTGTCAATACCCTGGTTCAGGGGAGGTTCCATCCAACATATCTGTCTCTTGAAGAAGGATATAGAGAAGGGTCTGTGGACTCAAAGTTTTCTCTCCAGATGCTGCCAGACCTGCAGAGTTTCTTAAACACCTTATGTTTTCATTTATGTTTAGATCTCCAGCATGCACACTTCTTTGTTTTGTTATAAAAACCGAAAGAATTGCGGATGCTGTGAATCAGGAACAAAAACAAAGTTTTTGGAAAAGCTCAGCACCTGGCAGCCTCTGTGGAGGGAAAAACACAGAGTTAACTGTTCTGAGGAAAGGTCACCAGACCTGAAACGTTAACTCTGTTTTTTCCTTTGTTTTGTTATGTCTGTCTTTCCCTTTCTTCTCTGATCAACCTGGACTCAACTCTTGTATACATCCGTTGTGTTTTTTTTTATATATTGTTTGGCTTCTCCAAGGTTCAACCTGGAAACATACATGTTACTAGAGTTTAACTTGCTCTAAGACACAGTCCCTGGAGTTCTTTTGGTGTTCTGGTTAATATTCACCTGTCAACCAACATTACTAAAATATATGATCTGCTGATTAATATTTGTGGAATCCTGCAGTTTGAAAATTGACCGTCAGGTTTCCTACAGTGACTGTAAAGTGCTATAAGGTTGTGAATCTTGCTATAAAAATGAAAGTTTGTTCTTTGTTTATGAATTCACAACCTCTAACTCGGAGGTCTGAGACTGCTGACTACTGAGCCAAGATTGAGACTGAACAAAATGCGAATAGATTGCAATAAGAATTGATGACATATGCAAGAATAAAAAGTTTCATTTTAAGTTAGATAATAAATCGGCAATTTAAGTTTTTGTTCCATGTAAATCTAATCCACTATTAAAAACTGCCTGTTCATTACTTTTTTTTCCTACTGGAATAACTTAAAACATTTTGAACAGCCTACAGTACAGGAAACAGCGGGAGAGCAGATTTGTATGAGTGAGGCCTTAATAGTTAATGACAATAAGATTAAACAAGCAGGAATGCACAGCAGCATAGAAGAGGAAATAAAAGAATCCAGTGAGAGAGATGACATGAAGCAAGAGATTAGCACTCAAGGTGAAGATGGAATGATTAGTACAGATAACATAGGTAGGTACATCTTAAACATAGACGTTACATGTCTATGGAAGGAATCTTCCAATCAATCCTGTTTGTACTTTTTTTTTCCCCTGGAAGCAGTATCTTATATAATATCAACATAACTTCAAACTTGCACAAACTGTTATGTTTGGAATATTGCACAGTGAAGTTATTTGTTTTTCTGAATTAATATGCACTGCACTGTTGAAGTAACTCTAACCTTGATTCTTAAAATTGAAACTGAAAACATCTGCACTAGTACAGAACAGTTCAGTTTGTTCTGAAATATTGGTGTCACTATTTTATGTATTTCAGAGAGTCTAGAATAAATTTTATACTAATTAAATACAGTTGAAAAGTGTTATAGGAAGTATGTTATCTTCAAAGGTTTTACTGTTTTGCCAGCAGGTTTCAGTGGTGCTGTTCAAGGTGATCACAACATACATTGTTATACACCACATATTTGGCACAAGAACCAGAGATGTAATAAGGACTTTTTTTAAAAATCAGTGCATTCCTATGATCTGGAATCCACTGCCTAAAGGCATTGGAAACAGATTCAACAATAACTTCTAAAGCGAATTGGATAAATGCATGAAAAGGAAAGATAAAGGGCAGTAAAAAGGGAAGGGAAACGTGACTCATTGCACCTTCAAAGAGCTTGTAAAAGAATGATGGGCCAAATGGCTGCTATCTGTGTTATATCATCCAAATATTTCATATAATCTGCAATATATTATCTGGGTACTGATTTACTGTTGTTAAATCAAATTGCATTTTATTACCGTATTATGAGAGCTTCAGCGATGGGGTTGTTATTGGCCATGTGTAATATTATCTGCACATATGTGCACGTTATGTACAGTGTATACCAGTTGTACTGAATATTATTATTAACTCTGCAGTTAATTTTTTAAAGCCCAAAAAATGGAAACTGGTTAAAGAAAAGGGATTCTGGTTGTTCAATTGTACTGGGCAGTTGAAGGAAATGCATGCATTAGTACATTATGAAGGATCATTCTATAATAAGGATAAGGGGTTTGATGGGGAAGATATGATACCTGGTGGTATTGGAGCTCTGGTAGGAATATTCATGATGCTTGGGATTACTATGAAGATGTATTTTAGTCTAATAGGAGAGGATCCAACTATGATATGATAACATATAGTCCTTGGTGGCATAGAATTGCTGAATGCAACAACAGTAGGAATGTTCTGGCTGATTACTATTCCTCAATAAAAATCTGGAATTATGCACAGTGGCTACCTTATTTTATTCTGTGGTTTTTGCTAAAGCAGATTATCTGGTCATTATCACTTTTGCTGTTTATGGGAGCATGCTGTACACAAGTTGGGTACTCGTACATGTGACTATACTTCACAAGCATATTATTGGCTGGAAAAGCATGTTTTGGGACAGTGAATGATGCAATCTAAATGCAAGTCTCTTTGAATTTGGAATAAAAGAGCACTGGATTGGCAATCACAAGATTTGACTGTATTGTGGTGGAGTAGCTAGATATGGTACCACTTGGGAGGGGAGTTGTTATGTTTGAATGTTCTGGGGGATGCTGGGTGTAAAAGTGCTGTGAGAGGGTTCCTGCTTGTGGGAGAACATAAAGAATTACTGGCTTTGGGACAGTTGGGATACTGTCCATGGAAGAACAGGAAAGTGGATTGCCCACTGTGGGAAAGATGGGGACATTGCTGGCTGTGGAAGAAGATGGGGGGCATTGCTGACTGAGCAAGAGTTGAGAGATGTTGAGGTTGGTTGGCTCGCCGAGCTGGTTTGTTGTTCCGCAGACATTTCATTACCCTGCTGGGTAACATCATCAGTGCAGCCTCCGATGAAGCGTCGCTGTGTTTTCCCGCCTGGTTTTTAAACTCTGGAGTCCGTTGAGCTGGATTGCCTCACTTTTGGTTTTCCTTCGTAGTGGAGAGTATATGGGGTTGAGTTCTATGTGTTTATTAATGGCTTTCTTCGTGAAGTGCCAGGCTTCTAGGAATTCCCATGCCTGTCTCTGCTTAACTTGTCCCAGGATTTTGGTGTTGTCCCAGTCGAATTGGTGGTTCTCCTTATCCATGTGGATTGAGATGAGTGAGTATTGGTCATGTCTTTTTGTACCCAGCACGGTAACGAAACGTCTGCGGAACAAGAAATCAGCTCGGCGAGCCAACCAACCTCAATACCCACAGCCCGAGTTACAAATCTACTCCAAAACCTTAGAGAGTTGAGAGACTGCTGGTTTTGAGAAAACTAGGGAGATTGCTGACTGGGGGAGAGATTGGAGATTACTGGCTGGACGAGAACATGCCTTTCCTATCTGTAGAATTTTGGTTGTGGGAGATAGGGATGAGGTTTGGCGAGGGGATTACTGATTGTGAGAAATTGAGGGTCTGTCGGCTATTAAAGCTAGTGTAATTGTCATTGTTAGTTGCAACATGATGCTTCCATACACAGTGGTCATTGGTGAACCTGTCCACAAACATGCGAGTGAGTCATCTGTAAGGTCTAGGTTAGTTAGGTAAGAATCATCCTGCAGATGATTTGCTCATGTTTTTGCTCAAGTTTATAAAAGTGAATGTTGATTGGATTAAAATTTACATGATCCTGAATGATCTTGAAAAAGTAAACATGGAAAGGATGTTTTGTCTTCTGAGTCCAGAACTAAGGGACACTGTTTTAAAAGGAGGGGTCGTCCTTTTAAGACAGCGATAAGGGAATTTTTTTTTCTTTCCTTTTAATAATTGAGACACTTTGGAATGCTCATCCTTAGAAGGCAGTGGTGTCTTTGACTATTTTTAAATCAAAAGTCATCATATTCTTCTTAGGCAAGGTTACTTGGGGAAATGTGCAATTTGAAACACATACAAATCAGCCATCATTTCACTAAATGCAGCAAAGCTTGAAGCATTGAACGAGCTACTTCTCTTAACTTGTATGTTGGTAAATGGTTTATAGATTCATGGAACTTAGGAAGATACCAGGAACTCTGCAGTCCTACATGATCCAGGCACATCCCAGGCTGACCAAGACCAATCCTCCCAGGAACAGAAGAATTAGAAACAGGAGAAGGCCTAATAAGAACATGATTGATCTTACATGATCATACATGTCTCCCCATGATGTGTCACTCATGACACTCTTGTCAAACAAAAATCGATCTAATTCTGCCTTGAATATATCCAACAACCCTGCCTCTACTACCCTCTCATGAAAGAATTCCATCAACTAATGTCCTTTGAGAAAAAGACTCCTTCTCAGTATTGAATGGATTAGACCCTAATTTTTTAAACTATGACCCCAACTTCTAGACCATTCCCCCACAAGGGGAAACCCTCTCAGTATCCACCATGTCAAGTCCCCTCAGAACATTATTTGTTTCAATAAGATCACCTTGCTTTCTTAGAAATTCCAGTGTGAATAGACCTGAGCTGCTTGGCCTTTCCTCATAAGCTAAATCCTTTATCCTCAGAAACAGTGGAGTGAACTTGGTTTGCACTGCCTCTAATGGAATTATATACTTTCTCAAATAGGGAGACCAATACTGTATTCAGTCCTCCAGATGTTGTCATAGTAAGGGCCTACACAGCTGTAGCAACAGTTCCCTACTTTTATACTTGGTTCCCCTTGAAATAATTGCCTTCCTAATCACTTGCTGCATCAACATACTAGGCTTTTGTGATTTGTGTACCAAGTCATCCATATACCTCTGTAATGAAGAGCTCTGCAGTCTTTCTCTGTTGAAATAATATGCTGCTTTGCTGTTCTTCTTGCCAAAGTGGACAAGTTCACATTTTCCCACATTAGATTCCATCTGCCTTTTTTTTTGCTTCCACTTAACCCATCTAAATCCCTCTGCAGATTCTGTAGTCTTAACAATTTGCTTTCCTACTGTCTTAGCGTCATCAGCAAATTTAGCTACCATACATTCAGTCCTTTCATCCAATTCTTTGACATCGACTGTGAATAGTTGAGGCCCCAGTTCTATACCTGTGGCACTCCACTAGGTACAGCTTGCCAACTTCAAAATAATTATTTTATCTGTCCTCTGTTTCCTGAAGCTAATCAATCCTCTATCCAAGTTCTTATATTATCCCTTACACTGTGAGTTCTTATTTTTCTAATAACCTGTGGCACATAATCAAATGCGGTTTGGAAGTCCAAGTACATAATGTCTACAGGTTCTCCTTTATCCACCTTGCTTGGTACTTCCCTCAGCAAACTCTAATAAATTAATAAAACAAGAGGTCCACCACACCACCATTTTTCCCCTTCCTTGAGCGACACATATTGAGGATAGCTGGATGCCAAAATTGACAGTCTGCCCACTATATATAAATGACTTTTATTGAGCTGATGTGCGTTGGTGGGCAGCCCCTTTTAATTTTACGAAGTTGTAGAGGTCAGAGAAAGAAGAGCATTAGTCCCCCAACCTTCTCCTCATACAGGCATTAATAATCACACATCCCCTAACACCCTCCTAAAATCACTAAACTCTTCCTGCCTAGTGTCCCTTGACCTATCTGAGCCTGGGATTCTATCAGATTTTCATCCTCGGATTGATTGTAGTCCTGATTGGACTTGGGACTACTGACCTCTGGTGCTGATGGTACTGTTGGAGCTGCCTCCTTGTCAGATTGACTGGAATCTCCAGTGGGTGGTGCATCCACCTACCGAGAAGTGAAAATCCACTAATGTAGACCACTGCAATGTTTTGGCTGCGGGGCAGACTTGTTCTCAGCCTTCTGGCTAACTGCTGACTTTTCTTCCAAATGTGGGGTGGTCTCAAGCCATTCTACATTTCTGCCTATGATTTCTGTTTCACAAAACTATATTGACTCTGCCTGTCTGTATTATAATTTTCTAAATATCCTGCTTTAACTTCCTTACTAATGGATTCTAATACTTTCCTATGATAGATGTTAGGCTACCTGGCCTGTCGTTACATCATTCTTGTCTCTCACCTTTCTTGAATAATGGCATTACATTTGCAAATTTCCAATTCGTTGGATCCTTTCCCAAATCTAGGCAATTTTGGAAAATCACAACTAATGCATCTTCTATCTCTGCAACTACTTATTTTAACTCACCAGTGTATGGCAGTTAGGGACTTGGCCAGGCTTTAGTTCTAATAGTTTTTCCAGTCCCTCCTTCCTAGTGATTGTGATTGACATAAATACCTGTTTAATATTTTCTTCTCTTCAATTGTAAGTTGTCTGGTCTCACCCTTTTAAGGGACCAATACACATACGTTACTCAATTTCTTTTTAAATACTTGTAGAAACTCATATTGTCTATCTGATATTTCTAGCTTGCTTTCTGTCATATTTTTAATTTCTGACTTTTTCTTAAACATTCTTTGTTGATTTCTAAAATTTGTCCAATCTCTGACCTTTCACTAACATTCACAGTATTGTATGCTTCTTTCAATTTCAACTTTCCTTAATTCACCACAGGTAAATAAAGACCTTCTTTAAAGACTTTCTTTCATCTTTACTTATGAAAAGTTTCTTTGCTGAGAGTCTGTAATATTTCTTTAAATATCTGCTACTGCTTCTCTTCCATCATACTTTTCAAACTGTCTTCCTAATCGGCGATAGTTATTTCTGACTTCATATGCTAGTAATTCCTTTTACTTAGGTTTACTTCAGACTAAGACGCTAGTCTTAGACCCATACTTCTCCCCCACCTCCAAACTAGATGTGAAATTCTGAAAGTCAAAGCTGAGCTACAAACTGACAGCTTATTTATGGTGCTCCACAAAAGACTGTTTGCTAACTGTAACCACATTTGCAACAACTAGCTAAATATCACAGTTAAATCATTCTGACTCTCCCTATGCTGAACAGTTGCAGACAATAGCAGGACTTTCTTGGTAGTCAGTATAAGTACAATGCATAATTCTGTACGTACTGTGTGACCAATATTCAGTGACTTTCTGTTGAAAGTTTCAACATTTATGTAAAATTTGTAACAGGTTTTCTTTAAGATAAATTTCTATTAGGCATAAAAGAAATTTAGTATAGTAAGCAAAAAAACAGGTTAGAAGTAACATGCAGAGACCAGGATATTTATACAGTTATGGGGTTGGGGTGGTGGCAGAATTGGAAATGTTTATGAAAAAATTGATGAACAGACGAAGGAGATTAGCACATATAGAAGTAATTAGAGAATGGGAAAGAAATGGGGATAATGTGATTTCTTTCAAGTTATAGTGTTTGCTCTTATCTGTTGCGTTGCTCTGGGATAGTAATATATAATAATACACCTGTGCATTATATGAGCGGCAGTTACAAAATAATGTACTCACTGACTTACCAGAATCAAAACCTTTTGAGATGCACCAGTTTAAATATCACTACTTAAACCTGCCTAGAATAAACTGAGAAACTGAAGAAATTGAAATGTGTACTTTCAAGGTTAATCTTATATTTTCATTACAGTTACGAACAGTGATATATGGTCACCAGATACTGCCAAGCCAACTACAGAAATGCCAGAAAAAGCAACTAATAACGGAGCTCTGTTTGTGAATGAAAGACCGTACACCAGTGTATCCACTCTGACCGTTAATGCTGGTGAGCCCAATGACACTCAGCAGGGTGAAACAGGAAACACTCGCAATGAAGCTGAGTTGGCGAGTGCAAAAATCAAGTTGCAGTGCACTTCTGTCTGTTTGGCAGAAGTCCCAATGGAAGGAGGAAAGAAGCTCCCAGACAGTGCTGATGCATTAGGTGTCTGCAGTGCAGATGTAGGTCAGCAGACAGACTCCAACACACACAAATTCAATGGAGGCAGAACTGAAGCAGTTTATGATACGAATGATAAGACAAAAACCACACAATATGACAAAGGTGTCTTTATAAATGAATCACCTAGGACTGAAGCCAGAGCAGCTGCTTGCACCACTGAGATTATAACAAAGGAAGGCGATGCAAATGAAGTACAAGAGGATACTGTCCAAACTCAGCAAAGTATTTTTGACCTTGTATGTCAACCAGTACTTGATGAAATTAAAAATGAGCAGAAATCCAGTTTACAACAGCAGCACGAACACAGCCAAGCAAATATTCCGACGGAAGAAAACTGTGTAATTGAACTTTGTCAATTCCATAAACCCTGCAGTAAATCAGATGACAGTCCTATAAAACTACCCACTGACCATTGCATTCTATCAATTTTGCCCTGTAAAATTAACAGTAGTGTTGATGTTGTCGGTAAATCCAAGTCAGGGAATCTCAGGTATGACAACCATGAGGAAGATATTATGAAGGAACTCAGTAGTAATGCACAAAACAATCTTGTTAGTACTGAAGATCAGCAGAAAGAGCCACTTAGTCTGGAAACCATCATTTCTGACAGTGAAGCAATTCAAGATATTCAGGTAACTGTGTCCAATGCTGAAGCTTTGGGAAACCAGAAACAGTTGCTAGGTAACTTAGCACAAAGCAATGACTGTTTAATTATGACAAGTATCCGTTCACCAAATTTCGTAGGTATGGTTTTAGCCCCAGTCCCCCACAGTACAGAGGAAACTAACAGCAGTGTGAATGGTTTGGAACCCACTGTGGAAAATCAGCAAACATTAGTTAGTAAAATGGATTTGCATGCTGAAGTACTAGAAACAAGAGGTATTTCCAAGATTACAGAAAATAAATTAAAGCTCAGCTTCACATGTGCTTCAGTTAATCCGGTTGCAACCATTGCTTTAGATCACCAGAATAAAACATCAACCTCTCAGATAGAGTGCACAAACACCAAAGCACCATGTCAAAGTGACTGGAAATTTTGTGAACTGCCTTTTTTAGATTCTGAGAAAGAAAATGATACATCGAACAAAGCTGCAACATCACTCTCAGTTTCATTACTGAGAGACAAACCGGAGGCTCCTATTGTAAGCAGAAGAACCCCTTCAGCATTTACTTTTCCAAGACAAATCGGTGAAATAAGTTTGAGAAATTCTAGTGCAGCAGGTAATCTTTTTTAGCAAGTCTGGTGGTAAAAGTGGATAATGTATGGGATGTGGTACCATAGCAGTTATATTCCTGGACTAGTAATCCAGAGGTTTTGATGAATAATCCAGGTACATGTGAATTAGGGGATTTCTTTTCTTTCGGTTCTCTGCCCAAAGGCAATTCCAACTCATAGCAATACAACATCCACCAAGGAGGCAGATTCTGAATTTAGTTCATCCAGAAAGCAATCAAACTTCCATGTTGTTGGAATCAACCTAATCTATAGTTTGTATCCAGCCAACAGGATCCATGAGGAGGTCAAATTGCTGTGGTTGCATGCTATTTTTGTCCAAATCTAGCTATGACTCGTAGAGGCTCCAGTTTTTTTTTCCAACACCTGGAGAATTTGATTTGAATTAAATAAAACAGTAATAGTGACCATGAAGCTATCAGGCTTTTGGAAAAACTAATATCATAGAACATAGATGAGTATAGAACAGGAACAGGCCCTCATGGCTGTGCTGTTGCCATTTTAAGAGCACTGCCTGCACATGGTCTGTATCCCTCTATTTTCTGCCTATTCATGTGTTTGTCTAAATGCATTTTGAACATTGCTAATGTATCTGCTTCTACCACTTCACAAACAAAAACAAAAATTGCTGGAAAAGCTCAGCAGGTCCGGCAGCATTTGTGGAGAGAATTCAGAGTTAACATTTGGGTCATGACCCTTCCTCAGAACAGGTACTTCTACCACTTGCCCAACAGCATGTTCCAGGCACCTACCACCCTCTGTGTAAAAAAAACCATTCCTCACGCTTCCCCCTTAAACTTTCTCCTCCCTCACCTAAAACCTATGTCCCCTAGTATTCCACCCCAGGAGAAACACTGATTATGCAGCCTATCCATGCCTCTCATAATTTTGTATACTCCTGTCAGGTTGCCCTCAACCTCCGACACTGGCGAAAACCATCCAGGTTTGTCCAGTCTGTCCTTATAGCTAATATACTCCAATCCCGGCAACATTCTGGTAAACGTTTTTTGCACCTCTTCAAAGCTTCTGCATCATTCCTTTATTATGGAGACCAGAACTGCACACAGCACTCCAAAAATGTGGCCTAACTAAAGTCTTATACAGCTGCAAGATGACTTGCCAATTTCTATACTTGGTGCCCCAACTGAAGAAGGCAAGCATGCCGTATATCATCTTTACAATCAAGTTCTGCCTTCACATCGAGAAGACCCCCCCATCGTGTTGTGTGGCACTATCACTGTGCTACATGAGACAGACTTTTAACACATCTAGCAACTCAAGACTGGGTATCAAATGAGATGCTGTGGGCCATCAACAGAAATGTACCCCAGCACAATCTGCAACATCGTGGCCTGGTGTACCCCTACTCAATCATTGCTATCACTCCAGGTCATCAACCCTGGGTCAGTCGAGAGTGCAGGAGGGTGTATCAGGCATACCTAAAAATAAGCTGTCAACCTGGTGAAGCTACCAAGCAGGCTACTTGTGCCAAACAGCATAAGCAGCCAGTGATAGACAAGAGCTAAGTGATTATACAACCAATGGATCAGTCCTGCCACATCCAGTGATGAATGGTGGTGGAAAATTAAACAACTCACATGAGGAGGTGGCACCACAAATATCCCCATCCTCAATGATGGAAGAGCCCAACACATCAGTCCAAAAACAAAGTTGCTGGAAAAGCTCAGCAGGTCTGGCAGCATCTGTGAAGGAAAAAACAGAGTTAACATTTCGGGTCCAGGTGACCTTTCTTCAGAATCAGACCTGAAACATTAACTCTGTTTTTTCCTTCACAGATGCTGCCAGACCTGCTGAGCTTTTCCAGCAACTTGTTTTTGTTCCTGATTTACAGCATCCACAGCTCTTTCGGTTTTTACATCAGTGCAAAAGTTCAGGCTGAAGCATCTGTAGCAATCTTCAGCCAAAAATGCCAAGTGGATGATCCATCTTGGCCTCCTCCAGTGGTCCCCAGCATCACAGATGCCAGTCTTCAGCCAATAAAAAAGTGCTCTTGAATCTAGACTACCCAGAGCAAAGCCATGGGAAGTCAGGTCACAAATGTACTTGTAAATGTAAAAAAAGGTGATTGAATCGCAAGGTTAAAATAAATTACAAAACCATTGCATTTCACTCTAATATTTTATGATAATGGTCTGAATCCTTTGAATAGATTACTGCCTTGTAATTCATCCCAATTATTCCAGTCTCCTCTGTAGAACTTTGAAGTATGCATCCAACTCCGAATACGTGTCTATCTCCCAGCCTGGCTTATTCACAATGACCCAAAATGTATTGGTCACATGGGATTTTCCATCACGAACCAATCAAAGGTGAATTACAGTCTCTGATGATTAATTTATCCAAGCCTATGAGACTAAGTGCAGACACGGACATGAACTCTACTAGTATATTTTTCATTACCTCTGACAGGAAGCCATCCATAGGAGAAATAGTATTCCTGAGACAAAAAGGGTAGAATTCAGAGTTTTACATCACAAATTAGTATTTGTTCTTCCCTAGTAATTATCATTAGTCAAGTATACTGAAGGAAACACATACTTTTTGAAGACATATTTCAAATGATTTTACAGTTCTCCATGGCACAACAAGATCAAAGCCTACATTAGAATAGGAAATTGTCCATCGAATGGATGAACAGTGAAACATCTCTGATTAAATGTGAATAATTCTCAAGGTCAGATAGGAAACTAAGAGTTCAATGACTTCAAAATTAGCATCTGGGGATTTTCAAAGTTTAGCACATTGAGTGAATTTGTAACCATTTCCTCTCTGTCACTCAGATTCTCCCAGTACTAAAAGGCTGAATGACACTTTTAATACCTCCACTATTCCTCTTTACCCCAAGAGAAATTCTGATGAGGAGTGGAACACAATAGCACAGACATATCCTGATTTTTCACAGCCTGCAGATCGGGTAAGTGGATTTTAAAATGTCATTCCAAATCTTTGGAGAGATAATTTGAGAAGAATGTACAATTTTATATGGAAACATGCGATTTATGACAGATGGATTTCAAAAATATTGGGAAGCACATTGGCACCATATTTTACAATTGAAGTTGATCTAGATAGAAATAAAATATAGGTAGAAAATAGGCATACTGACTGTATACACCAAAGGCAGAAAGAGAGGGAGGAAATGATATGCAGTCTATCCCATACAAAGCCAAGATAGATATAACTTTGAAAAGTGTTTAAAAATCCAAGATAATACCTCTCAAAGTGGCTTGGTAGGAGAAGTTTCAAATATACCTTAACAAATTAACCTTTTATATAATCAAAAATGAATGTTGCGAAATATTCATCCATTACATTTCAAAGTATCAAATTTATTTTAAAAATGTACTTGTTTCCAGCTAATTTGGCAAACCTAGGGCAACCTGACATACACATTAACTAGACCTAATGGTTTAAAAGAATGGGCCAATTACATTGGGCTTCTTGTTAGAAGTGCAATAAAGCACTGTATGTAATCTGCCAACACAAAACAGTGCATGCTTGAACTTAATTACAAACAACACTATGGGAGATCCATTTTACGACAACAATTAAATACCCAACTACAAAATAGATCAAGAACAACATCAAATGAACTCAGTAACATGTCTTACAGTCATGCTCACCATAACAAGTGATTGTGAATCGTAAGATCTCAGGAAAGATCCTGTACAGGTACCTCTTTAACTGTTGACAGCATTTCTGTGACAAATGACTCTTCATTAAATCATCAACCTTTGAACTTTGGCAATTTGTTAATGAAACATGAGGTTAGTGGGCATTGAAGCAAAAGGGAAATTTTAAATAGTGAACCTATTATTAGTCATTCATTGTGATACTGAGATGACTGAAGGAATAGTCAATATCTTATTTGTTCTTGAGTGTACGAATTCAGTCTAAGTTGTGCTTACAACTTACGATAAAGGAGTCGTGTCATGTGCACATTTAGGTTATATTGGTATTTAAGGTTTTGGAGTAGATTTTATATTAATATATTAGTATTACTTTCTGTTCCTAGTTTTCTGTTGTTTTGCAACAGTGGTAATATCTTAAAAGTACTTAATTGGTTATGGAGTATCCTCAGATGTGAAAGATGTTACACAAATTATTTCTTCTATTATTGAAATGATAAAAGACTAGCGACTGAATCTTCCTAAAAATTGGCTAAGTATAATTTTTAGCGAGCTTCATGTAGTGTATTTTCTCAATAACTTTGCACCACACCCCTATGGCACCCTGCTTGTCATATTCCCCCAACTCGCTGCAGGTGAAGTACAGGCAAATACCAGGACTTTAAAGTCCGACTGGACACCCAGTGACTGTCCACAGCTGCCCTGCAGAGTTTGTTTTATTTGCCTCAGGCATGTTGGATAGAGACGAATTGGCATCCTGCTTCACCGACAGGGACCTGGAGATTCTGCTAGATGAGGAAATCGTGGTGGTGGTGGTGGTTGTTGGGGCTGAGGGGGAAAAGAAGGGTGGGTGCCTGCAGTCACTGTCCATGGAGCATGCTCTGACATGTTAGTGATTGATATATGGCTGGAGGAACAGGCAGCAAGCTGGAATTGAACTGACTTTCACACTGGGAATTATCATTCTGTTTTCTATCTGGCAGGTGGGAGAATAGAAACTGCAGATTAATTAGGTGAGATTATGTCATAAAGATGAGCAAATGCTTGCAAATAAGCCGTTCAGCACTCATTAGCAAGAATTTCATTTCACTGTTTGACAATAGATTGGAAAATGGGATGTTTCGCTCTCTGACAGGAAGCTGCTCACTGCTGACCTCACGTGATTCTGCCGACTATTGTATAGATAACCATAATAGATGTGATCATCTTTAGTGTACATTATCAGCTTTCAAACATCATTCTAAGGCTAAGGGATTGCAAAAGATTGCTCTTGTAAATGAAATAGATGCTCCAAAAAATTGTCGTTGGAGTACAGGTGCAATGATAACATTGAACTAATTGAATCAGGACATTAGACACTAGTATGGTGAAGGCTAAAATGATTAAAGATGACTCCCTCCTTACAGATGAAAACTGTAACATTTTTGAACAAGTCAGGAAGTTGCACTTTAATTATTTAATAGTAAAAAAAACCACTTCTATAGTCTGAGAGAGACAAGTGGTAGATACTCCTCATTTCTGTGTAAGGTTCACCAAGTTCCTTAGATAGCACCTTTCACAATCACTGCCATTTAAAAGGAGAAGGCAGCAGTTACGTGCTAACATCAGCACCTGCAGGTTCTCATCCAAGCCACTCACCACTTTCATTTGGAAATATCCTGCTGTTTCTTCATTATTGTTGGGTTAAGATCCTGTAACTCCCTTCCAGCAGCATTGTCGATGTACCTGCACCAAATGGACTGCAGCAGTCCAAGACGATGTCACCTTCTCAAGGGTATTTAGGGATGGATAGTAAATGCCAGCTGAGCCAGCAAAGCCCACAACCCACGAGCAAATAAAATAAATTCCACAATATATCAAAACAATTCTTTCATTGCAGGGGACATTGTTTGCTTTGTATGATTTAAGATGAGTTCTCAAGGTATTCACATTATATTCAATTATTCATTTCCAGCTTCCATTTGTGTATTTTTTATGTTTGGCTAATATTTCTTGTTGCAATGATCCCTGCATACACAACTCAAACAAATTGTGTTGGACTCTTTTGTGTCCCCACTAATTCAATAGCAGTCACATTTTGAGAGCTGTACAGTTTGAAAGATTAGTTTGCAATTTGATGTGCGATTGGTGTATTAGTATAATTAACACTTAAAAGAATCCAGAAGAAACAACAACAAAAAATCCTAATGGTATAACCAGAATGCACAAAATATTTGTCCTAAATGTAACACAATCTACTGTACAATTTCGTAGGTGCTGTAATGATGCAGTGTTGATTTTTTTTTGGATATTTAAGGATCAGCCTTTTCAGAGTGATTTAAATATTTTTATGTTTAACCTTCCACCCCGCTCTGAATTTTCATTGCGTTCATCTATGTAGCTAAGATACTTCAACATTAATCCCCCACCCCAACCCCTTTCTGTCTGGCTTTGTTTCGTTTTTATCCTCACATGTAGTGAAATGTAAATCCAGTTATGGGTAGTTTTACAGTTAGTATTGCATTTCTTTTGGGTATCTAAGTTTTTCTATTTACAGTGTCCCTGCACTGTCTGTTTGTTTATTATTCTCCATTATCATCAGAGAGTTCTTATTATTTCCTTTTAAATCTGCATTGGCCACTTTGCCTCTCTATGGAAGTGCCTCCTCCACTTTCATAAAAATTCAGAATGTTTTACTGTCTGTTTATAATTCAGGCCATAGGAGACTGCATGCTTTATTTAATTCACTTCCGCTGTAATTCTATCATCGACCTTAGCTAGGTTAAAATAATAAGATCTTCCTACAAAACCTGTTACAAGAATGTAATTCTAATCTCAACTTGAGCATTTGGGTCCTTAGGTTCATAGTTCTACAGTACAGGAGGAGGCCGTTCATACAGACCATCAAGTCTATGTCGGCTCTCTGAAAGAGCAATCCTTTTACGTTCACATTGCCCTGCAACATTTTCCTTCTCCGTTAAAAATTCAATTCCCTTTTGTAAGATGCTATTTAATCTGCTTCAGCATTCTTTCAAGTAAAACATTTTAAATTAAAACAATTCGATGAGTAAAACATCTCCAGCTGCAATGAGTTTGAATCCATGTCTGGTTACCAACCTTCCTGACATTGCAAGCTTCTTCCTTGAATCTATAGTTTTCTTTTCACATTCTTTACTAGTCAGTTGCTTCCCCACTAAATCTTTAAAGCAGAAATGCAACATTTCCACCCTCCCTGATAATTCAAAATCATTCTTCTCATTTACTGAGTACAATGGCACGCAATCTTACACTGAACAGAATACACAGAATTGTGTTCACAGCAACGGACCTCTTAAATTCTTATTTTTTAAATGCATTCTTCAGATGAGTATCCACAAACTGAAAGCAGTGGTGAGATACCTTGTGGTAGTGTTCCCACATTGCTGTTGGGTTGGGAATTCCAGGAGCTTGACCCTTTACTGATAAAGAAATCATTGTACATATTAAGACTTGTTGACGTGTGACCTGGAGGCAAACCAGAGATGATGGTGCTGCCATGAACTGCAGCTCTTTGTCACTTTCTAGGTAGTGGAGATTATGGATTTAAGAATTGCATCATTACATTCTATAGATTTTACGTATAGTAACCTACATGTGCTGATGGTGGATTGCCTTCATTGACATACTCCTGAAATTAGTATGGTTAAAACTCATATGTAATGTTGAAGACTCAGCATACTTAAATTTAACAACATTCTTATAATTTCTCATGCTTCTGCTTCAAACCACAAAACAAAAAGCTGATTCCCTGACCTTCTAAATGCTCCTACTCTATCCTCCATTTAATTAAGATTTTTAAAATCCAAAAGTTCCATTTTCCCCTCTTTCACTGTAAAACTATTGTCTGTATTCTCCATTCTCACTGCATATCCCACCATCCCACACTTTCTTTCCATGCCCTGTGTCTTTCTGTACTTCACTTATATTTGCAAGTATGGAATGCAGTCAGCTCTATCTTTCCTTTCTGCTGTTCTTATAGCTGTCCAGTTCCCTCCTTGTAATAAAAATCTAATATTATGACTATGTTAAGGTACTTAGTGGGTAATTATTGCAACTACGTCCTGGCACCAGGTTACTCTTTCTGAATCTGCAAGGTGAATTGTTACATTGGACTAGTTGTTTAAAATATTAAAATGCACAGCTTTATTCGTGCAGGTTCAGAGGAAATTTGAGGCATATGCTTTTGCAATGGATGAACTTTTATAAGCTCATTATGATCTTTAAGGTAAAAACATATTTTGTCCATGCTGAAGCATCTGTCTCTAATGTGTACCTCTTGTGCTTTACGTACTCTTGTGGTGTCAGCTTACTTCACACACGTAGTAATGCAAATAGGCCATTCCAGAATTAAATTAGATAGAGTTAAGGTGAAGGCCTTCCTCAATTTCCATAACATTATTATGGTGTAAGGGCTTGAGTGGTTTTCTTCCTGTTGTTTATGGCTTCAGATTTAATACTTGCCTGTGGAGATTTATTGCAATGTGGTAGTGGTACCCCAAAATTGTTGACCACTTTGGCAAAAGTATTTATGTATTATAAGCATCAAAAAAACTGGGAGTAATTTTGCACGTTCTAATGCTTAAAATTGTTTAAACAATACCTAACTGGAGCTTATATGGAAGTAATTAGCTTTCCCTCCAATTGTGTTTAATCATACCCCTCGTCTTACGTGGCATTGGCAATAATTGTTAATAGACCATTGTACACACGTTCTTATATTTCATGGGTGGTCTTCTGTATTCAATGGGACTGTGGACTCCAATCAATATTCCAGTCTAACATGCTGGGAAACAGACATATTGTGTACAATGGAACAGTCTGTCAAATTTGACAGAATTATCCTTACTACAACATCAGCTGAGAGGATCTATATGGTACTTTCTTACTAATATTCCAGAATTTACCCGTCTTAAGGCTTTAAAAAACTGTGATAATGAGTTACTTTTGAACATCTATTTTGAGAAAATCCCTTGATGTTCCTTCAAGGTTCAGTGTGTATTAATACTGAATGTATCTTGTCACCAAACTTTGTCAATGTATAGACCCACCCCTTGAATTATAAGCACACAGTCCAAATAAAGCTTAATCAATAGCTTTGCTATTAGTACATTCAAAGTTGTTGTGGTAGGGCATTACAAATCAAGACACAGGAACACAAGGCAGGGGCTTCAACACAATTTATTTCATCATTGGAGGAAATGCATAAGTTAGTTTTAGAACTGTGAGCAGAGGCTAGATCAAGGAGATATCTGCAACTCAGGTATTGTGGGAGTTCTAGGACAGGTATTCATTGCGGTTGGAACTCTTGGAAAACATCTACAGCTGTTGGATTGGGAGATGGGCTACATAGGATAATAATCCTTGATAATAAGGAATTGTTAGCTTCGAGAGCAGTAGAAGGCTAGCCCTAGAGATAACTCCAATTCCTCAGTCAACATCAACAAGGAACTGACACAGAGTACAAAGAGACCATTGTATATATCATTCTGTATCATACTACTCACAGGGACTTCCTTTGAGATTTTTTGTTTCAATAGTTTGTTATATAACTGCTCACCACTCTGCAGAAGGAAATCTTCATAGTTATTTCACAGGATTAGTGTAGAAGATATGTTAAAATATCTAACTTCTATTTCGAACAATTATCCTATACCGAATGAAATATCGTGGCAATCTTAAAGATGGCACACTAAAATCTGTACTGCATACAGGTCCTACTTTTTGTATTCACTGGACTGACAATGGAAAAGTTTTGAAGAAAAAAATTCCACTGACATGAAGTTAACATAATATTTTGGCCACCTGTGATAAATGCCAATTATGGTAACTAAGCAATTCAAGAAATCAATACGATAGATTCTCTAATTTTAGAATTGATTAAAATCAAATGCCATTTGCTATTTTGTTGTACTGTCCTGAGAAATCAGTCAACCTGCCTAGGTTAAAATTTAAACAATGACTGGCAGTTAAATAACAATTATGTCAATAGCACCTTTAATCAGTTAACTTGACAATTATTCCCCTCAAGCAGTTTAAATATTGTTCTTCCCTTCAGTTAGTATTCTTGCAAATTGTTTTGATGAGTGCAAGATGAAAATCTTCAATAAACGTCAAATTAATACAAACCATTTCAATTATGAGCTGCCACTACTCCTAATCCTCTGCCATAATTTGAAATAATTCAAGTTATCCTAGCCCACGTTATGATATATGAATGGACAGTAAACTTTATTCATGGGTACTATATTGTCACTTCACTGCCACATATGAATTATCCCAAAACCCAAGACAGTGTCAATTCTTGATCTGATTTGGGTTAGGATTGATATTCCTAAATCATTGTTTGAAAGATCTGGAATTTTAAATTCTGATGACCGTACAACTACTTAATCGAACCTTCAGGCAGTAAAACCCTGCTGGATTTCCAGCTGCAGTCTGCGTAGGAGTAAAAACCGAAGATGATTGACAAGACTGTCACAAAGGCTAATGAGTTTTATTACAACAAATGTCTTCTATATTTAGGAAAAACCATGTTCATCCTCCGGCGAAGGTTTCAAGATTCCTTTTTCATTTGCTTCAATGAAACATCAGGGAAAGTTTACAGAAACTTCTTCTACTTGTTCCCAATCATACTTTCATCCTCAATCACCAGAGATTAAGGGACCAGAGGTTTCCACATCTAACACTATGCCTGCCACTCAAGACTTACTGTTCGAGGAGGAAACTGATTCTCAGTATGCCATCATCAAAGGACAAATTAGTAAAATCGAGAGGTTTCTTAGTCTGGACCGGCTCAAGCACACACGGAAAAGGAAAGCTGACAATAGCTCAACCGAATATGTAATAAAGATAACACCAACTTAATGTTATATCATGCCTTCAAGGTAGAAATTCTGAGAATCATTTTTTTGGCAAGTGTTCAACTGTTAATGAACAGATATGTTATGGTTAAAAATTTTAGGTGCAATTTAGAATTTTTTCAGTTTTACATAACATTTACTGTGCTGCCAGACATAATGAAAAACAGTTAAAACATGCTTTTAATTAGATTGCTGGAACTTGCAAATTATTCCACAGATCTTTATTCAAATAGCTGTTTTGCTTTTAAAACAAACAAACAAACAAACAAACAATCTTAATTCTGACAATGACCTTAAAAATGAATTGTTTGGCAAGTCCAAACATTTTGGACTTTATGTGGTGGAAATGCTGAGGAGGCTATTCCGCACCTGGTTCAAGTTCTGCTTCCAGGAGTTAAGACTATCATACAACTGCTGCCACTGTTGTTTTCCGAAGGTTCTGTGTGTAGTGTGACTGTAATGAGAAAGGAGAAAAAATGTACAATGAAGGTTACAGTGTAAAGCCTATCTCAGGAAGTGTTTTGCTCAGATTATGTCACCATGCATAAATATTGTTTACTTTCAATCACATTAAGAAGTCAATAAAAAATGAAGCAACTCAACAGATCTGGTGACATGAGTGGAAAGAGAAGCAGAGTTGATGTTGAATCCACTAATGACACATGCTGCTAGACCTACTGAGATCCTCCAGTGCTTTGTTTTTAGTTCAAATCGTCAACATCCACAGCATTTAGCTTTAGTTTAAGCCAAATAGGTACTTTGCTTTGATATCTCATTGCAGGAATCAATGGTGATCCATGCCAATGTTACAGCTCAGTACAGAGACAGTACATTGATTTTTTTCAGTGGTGTTTACCTGGTGAACATTAAAGATTCGACAGTACCTATTTAAGAAAATGTAGCCATTCTCTTGGTCAGCATTGCTCCATTGATCAACAATTAACTTCTCATTCACCATTGCAATTTATTCTTGCTTTGCATGCAATTGATGTCACATTTTCCTCCACAAACTAATTCAAAGTAATTGTCTAAAATTTATTCTTTGAGTATGTATAATTTTCAGAACAGTTGAAATTTCATAGATGAGCACTGGATGTCTTATTTTTCAAAGATATATCTTCAGAATGAGTTAAATTTTAGCTGTAATTGCATGAAGAAGTTTGAACTTTTTAACAACAGAAGCTACTATTTCTTTTCAAACGCACCAGACTTGTGTTTTATGTAGCTCATTCTTGCAGACTTGGCCTGAATTCACCCAGATAACAACTTAAACAAGTTACTGTCTTATTGGAATGAGGACAAGAATATGAGACCTTCAATAACCAAGGACTAAGATAAGCAGTTTATCCAAACCATGATCATACAGCGGTGACTAGGTATAACAAAGTACATTTAACATTTTTTGCATTTCGAATTTATTCAGTAGTTCAATTAAAATAGACCTTACCTTACAATTACTTTGCGTTGTGTTTGATCAATTTTGCAGTATACCATCTTTGTACGAACAGCTGAAAAATTTAATGTATTCCCAAATGTTTAGAATTCAAAACATTTCAGGTTAACTTCTGAAAATATTCTTGCTTTCGCCTTCATAACACAGCTGCAAATTTCAAAGTATTAAACGTGATATGCAGTGAACCAAATTTAACCAAAAATCAACTGGATAGGGAATTTTTTTTTTTTTTAAATCTTAAGTACATGGGGACATAACTTATTTAAGAATCAAAGCTAGTCAACATGGTAAGAAGTAGAAACAAGGCCTGTTAATGGTGTCATTAGCCAAACTCTTTTTTTGGGTAAAAGAAATTTTTTGTAAATGACTAAGATAAATTCTTATCCTAGGACTGTGACTCACTGCTCTGATAAAATTGCTTGTTCTCACAAAAGAAGCATTTAAATGGGGAGCATACTTCCATAGCAGTGAGATATAGCACCACATATTCACAGGTTTTAAAGTATCTTTCAAGGTCAGAATTTTCATCAAGCATGTTTTCCACAAATAGAAAGAGATACCCAATTGAATTCTTTACAAACACTGGTGAAGAATTGCTCAAACGCACAAATAATATAATTCATAAAAATTATAATTCATTCTTTGGACTTGAAAGGTGATCGCCTTTTTCTTTCACTCGTTAAACAGCATACACAAACATAAATGTAATAGAAACATAATGCTAAGTTTTACAGGTCAAAAACAGGCTTACATTGCTTTCTAAGGACGTATGTTAAACATCACAATTAATTTGTATACAGTAATATAACTTCTTTGGAAATAAGGCATTCACCAAAACAGAGGTGCAAGAATAGGAAAACAACTTGAAATTGGGATAAAGGATTTTGCAAACCCCTTGTCAACTTATTGAAAGCAACATTTTGTCTATTTGTGCAACCTCGTCTCTACTAAAACATCCTGTATTTATGATGGCACATAAAATGGACAATTAAAACTACACAGACTGTCTACCCTCACAAAAAGACAAATTTAGGATCTAAGCATAGAATACTTCTGTGAAGCACAAGGTTAAGACAGTTAAATGGTGTATTTTTAATATACTTACATCCTTTGTTCTTTCTTATAAGATGTTCACTATAGACTCCCAAGTCAACTGTCATCAATTTAACAATGACAAGGACCTTTTGACATCTAGTTAGTTTGCTTAATTACTATTAAATGATTTACTGGAGCATTACAATTTTTAACCAGGAATTGGTAAATTCTTAAGTACACATTATTTATCATTTGTTTTAAAAGCTGCAGACTCATTTTTTTTCCCTTTTCAGATATCTAATGTTAGCACATAAAATAACATTTGAAAGAAAATTACTGCAGCATTTTTTAAATGTAATGCTACTGTTCTAGTTTCAACAATGCTGCTGTGATCTTTGAAGACTTGAACAGATATTTATATAGTTTTGCAAGCCTCTCTTCTGACAAACATCAGAACTGTCCAGTTTGGAAACATCTCCACAGACATCCATGCTGTTTCAAAAGTGATCTGCCACGTATGTTTGCTTTGCTTGGAAATTAACCGCTCCTAACCAGTTTATCTTCCCCTCAAGACAGACAGATTCACCCTTCCCTTAAATAGTCTCATGTATCTTGACTGCAAGAAAATCAAGGAGAGAATAGGCCAGGCAGGGAATGACTTGATTGGAAAAATATGTTTAATTTCCTTTACTCAAAGTGGCAAGTTCCACATTTTATTACCAAGCAGCTCCCCCAAATACCAAATATCATAATGGTAACAAAACTACAGAGTCCAAAGGAAAAGCAGCATGCACTACATTCAACATCCCTAGATTATTATGCTTTATTCATTTTAAATTTGTAGCTCCCCCAATCTGATGAGACATATTTATTTGTAAATTAGTGAGATCTGCTCACTTTGCTTACCATCTATGACAAATGCTTCAACATCGTCTTCAGCAATCTGAAGTTCCTGTTGAAGAGTGTCAAAAGAAATCTCCTTGTTGTCCACTGCCATTCCCATCAAAGTTAACAGTCTCATCTTTGCTGTGTTCTGTTCATGAGAAAGTCCTGCAACCAATGAAATTAGTTAAGGTGTGTTCCCAGCATTTCATTGCTACAACTTTGGGGGATTTTTAGTATGCAGTATTTCCAATGTGGATAATTGCATAAATTTGACAAGTTAAGTGGATAGTTTTGAACCATATGAAGTGTTGTTATTTGAAATCAATTTGACTAAACTTCTGATATAATAAAGCAAACATCAGGCCAACAATTACACCCACAATAGCACCAATTCAAAGTTTAAAGGTATATAAGAATTTATTGAACTACATTACACATTCAATATTGTTACAAAATCAATGATTGTGCAATAAGGCCATAGAACATGAAATGATCAGGGAGTAACATCCAAACATTTCTTCATAGAATTGTAAGCAAATCTTGAATAGTATTACAGCTAGCGCTCAAATTTTAATTAACTTTGCCTCATAATGGCAACATAACAGTGAAAAACATAATTCACTTGAATGAGGTACACTAGGGCAAAACTACAGCTAATACAACTTAATGGAAAATTACACAAAAATCATTTAGCACATACTCCTAATTAACAAATGCAAATGAAATACTGATGAACTTTAAGCAGGGTGGTCGTGAAGAGAATAGGTTTATTGAAAGGCTACATGTGTTAGGGCAAAGCAGTTGACAGAAGAAACTGGCCTATCTTGTCAACATCAATATAAGGCAAATTATGACTTCAGGAAGCATGCCACCTGTTGGAGACTCCATCTTGCACTTAAAATGCATTAGTGATCCATAAATATCATGCTGTCCTTTCGTTATGGACAGTAAAAATATTGTACAATGCTAATTAATTCAGAACAGTAAATCTCCAGTATGTTAGATTTAATCAGAGCAAGGTAACAAGAACTAAAAGGTGATGCATAATCAGGACTAACCTGAGCTTTCCTTCATTTAACCCCTTGTGTGTGCTAAATGCCCAATGAAACATTTGCATGAAACTACAGGAAGGTTCTAATACAAGGAAATGAAGAAAAGCAACTGCCCAGATTCGTGTCAGGCAAAGAGCCTCACAAGTCATATTCGTCAATCAGGTATTTCCCACAGGATGTTCATTGTGGAAATGAAACCTAGAAGAATAACAGCAGTTCAAGGATACATCTTTTGCTGTCTGTATAGCTACTTATCTGATTCACTCTGCTCATACAAGAGCATAAAGTTTTAAAAAAGGATTGTAGATGTTTGCTGGGTGAGAAGACAATATGTAATACATGCGGTTTTGCTGATAACTACTGCCCAATAATCAGTCAGCAGACCACCATTATCCCACTTAAAACATTTTTAATTTGACACAAGTCCTTGAAATCTGTATACCCAGCCTGCCGAATTTTTGTTTTCTTTGGCAATCCCACAGGATCAAGGATGATTTGCTTCCTCTCAGACTCAATAGGCTTTGAAACAATGTGCAATCTTCAGACTCTGCTACATGCAGAAAATGTGACACTTAAATGCCTGAGCAGATAGTTTGTGGGAGGTCTTTATGCCTCCACGAGTACCTCAACTTCTCCTGTGCACATGTCTGAAGTCTCAGTGTATGACACCTTCCCTGAATAAACCTTTATTTTGGTCAGTCACAAGCAAGATTTCTCCATAAGTCAGCAGCTTTGTTTGACCTCATCAGGGATGCCATGAGGACACCCCTAAAGTATTTCCACTGTCCTGGGATCTCCTATTGAGACAGAATTCTGAGCAGAGCAGCTACTTCACAAGTCTAGCATCAGGCACATAAAGGACTGCAGATGCTGGAGTCAGAAATAACACAGTGTGGAGCTGGTGGAACACAGCAAGCCAGGCAGCAGAAGAGCAGGAAAATTTATGTTTCGGGTCAGGACCCTTCTTCAGAAATGGAGAGGGGGAAGGGAGCTCAGAAATAAATACGGGTGGAGCTGGGGTAGTTAGCTGGGATGGTGATAGGTGAGTGCATGTAGGGAGTGGTGGGGATTGGTCAGTGAGGTGGGAGGAGCAGATAGGTGGGCTGTAGGCTCCCGAAGCAGAATAGGAGGTGCTGCTCCTCCAGTTTGCAGGTGGCATCATTGTGACACTGGAGCCAGCCCAGGATGGTATTAGTATTGATGCTGGGCAAGTTGGAATGGGATAGGATGCTGTTGGACTGCGCTTCACTGGACTTAGAGGATTCTGCGAAAGCACTACTAATGCTTCATCTCCACTGCTTTAGGGGTTTTACTCTAGTCTGTCCAGGACTCAGGAGTATAGAGGATCACAGGATCATTTGCTGCCCATTTTACAAGTATGAATTGTACATAAAATGATCACACCAGCAAAATTCACAGGAGCAACGGTGTTCTGTGCAGCTCCATCAAAATAATGCATAAGGTCAAACATGAACAGCCAACAGCAATGTTACTCAGGAACAGAGGGACAACAGAAAGACAAACGGCAGGAAGTAAATGGAGGTCCTATGCAATAGGCAGGAAACATGCCAGCCTAAGGTGCCAAAAGGGGTTGGTCTAGAGATTCACTCAAATGCTCTACCCATAGATTAAAAAGCTAGTGGCATATGGTACTGATCTATAAATCAGGACTTTGGCTATTTTGAACCATGAGCTACAATGCCATACCTGTGCTCAGTTTCACTTTGCATGTTTTTCCACCTGCTTTTCATGTATCTCTTCAAATGAAAAAGTTTATTGTATCCAACAGCAAACAGAGATGCCTGCACTTAAATACATTTAAATCAGTATTTTCCAGGCATCTCTGGAAAGGAGCGAGAGAAAATCCCATATAGAAACCCACCATTTGAAGTTTCAGATAGTGCACATGCACTATCCACTCCCATTCTTCTGTGGGGAAGCAGCACTTTGAATGGCAAGTTAAATTCAACTTCTGTAACCCATGAATCCTCAGCAAAAACCAGAGAGAGAGGGAGCATCAGCATGAACCATCAACAGTTCACAGTTAAGCGTAAATAACATATGCAACAAACAGCCTACAATTGGAGGAAAGAGAGCAACGTGCATGTGCACAGAAATATGGTTTGGGAAGCACTGGGTGTTCAGGGTTCAGTTAAGAAAAAAGTTGAGGTAACTGCACGCAACTTTGAATGTGTACAATGAATGCACTGGAACTTAGCTAAAAAGGACACTTCTAAAATAGTATATTGCTTAACTGTTGATGCTCAATTTTATTCTGGACCCTTGTGTCAGCCCACATTTTCACATCAATGGATTCTGAAATGTGCACTTGCATCGCTGAAAGCTTCCACCCTTAAAATCAAATGAGTAGCTAGCAAAAAAACGGTAAGTAGCTCTCGACAAAATTAAGATACACATTTTTTCTCAAGGAACCCTCAAAAAATATTTGAATTCCTGACCAATATTCTTAAAATGTTCTTACAAAACATAGCTTACTTTCTGTGAGACTAATTTCCAAGCATGATCTGTGTAAAGTGATAGCAGATACCATGCTTTAAAAGCATCTAATTTTCTGCCAAATAGATTTACTTATTACTGTTATGTCAAAATCCTAATGCAGCAATAAAGTATTCTGCATCACTAAGCAATTTCTGCATTTGTTAAGCCTTGCCATCAAAAAATAAATGCCATATGAAAATCACATCTTAATACAAATAAGACACTCAAAATCACTGCACCTTTTAAACAGTCAATTACACAGCACTGTGGGAGTGCTGAAGTGTTAATTACCACTCCTTCCTGCTGGGCGTAAATAAGGAGATTGCTGACACCAACACTCCCCACCTTAAGCAATGAAGCAGATTATCTAGTTCATGAAGGAGACAATGATGAAACTTGAACAGCTTTCTGTAGCTATGCATTGAGCTCATCTTTTCTACATTCCCATGATTATTGCTCCGGAAGTTATATGTACATTTAATCAGATCCCTCTCAGGTATAGCACTTGGTGATATGCGGATGTAAACACTTTCTAAATAAACAGAAACCACAGAGTCAGCACATTAAATGCTGCCATTGATGGTTTTAAAGGTCAGAAGGTTAGTGCTAAAAACAATGATCCTCCCAAACTGCTGCATAATGAGAATCTGCAGGTCAAGGGACACTGATGGGTATAATTTCACCTCACAAACAAAATTACCTTTTAACAAAGACTGATCTTAATGACCAATGGGTATCTGTACTGGTAGACTAGCCCCTTGAAAATGCCCAACTTTTTTGATAACTAAAAACATTGTAAGAGTTTTCAAGTGATATTTAAAAATACAGTAGTGAATTGATACAAATAACGTGGCTAAAAAAATCTGAACTAGATAAGCTGTGACATTAAACCACAATTCTATGCATTATGCTACTTTATGCAGCATTATCAGAGCACAATATACCACCTCACATCAAACTTAGAGAAGATCCAATAGACCTTCACGATCGCGAACACGAGAAGTGCACAAGTCTGCTCTACCATCCAATGTAATCACAGCTGATCATCTATTTTCATTCCACTTCTCTGCCCAATCACTTGATTCCGTTCCTATCCAAAAAACTACCCATCTGATTTGTGAATATACTAAAAGCTGAGCATTCACAGGCCTCTAGATAAAAAAATTCCAAAGATTCAGATCCGAGTGAAGAAATTTCTCTTCATCCTACTCCTAAGTGACTTATTTCTTACCTTGCATCCATGACCCTAGGTATGACTCGCCAGTCTAACTGCCCACTCCACTACCCACACTTACTTTAGAGTCAGAATCATTGAGTCAAACAGCACAGAAACAGATCCTTTAATCCAACGAGTCCATGCCAAACATAATCCCAAACTACACTAGTCCCACCTGCTTGCTCCTGGCCCATATCCTTCCAAACCTTTCCTATTCAGATATCCATCCAAATGTCTTTTTGTAGTTGTAACTGTACCTGCATCTACCACTTCCTCAGGAAGTTCATTCCACACGAGAACCACCCTGTGTAAAAAATATGCCTCATGACATTTTAAATCTCTTCTCACTTTAAAAATGTGCCCTCTAGTCTTGAAATTCCCCATCTTAGGGAGAAAGACAACTACCATCAACTCTATTTATGCCTCATTATTTTATAAACTCCTATCAAGGCACCTCTCAAACTTCCTACGCTCTAGTGAAAAAAGTCTCAGCGTATCCAGCCTTTCCCTATACAGCCTCAAACCTTCCATAACCCGGCAACATCCTGGTAAATCTCTTCTGAACCCTCTCCAGCTTGATAATATTCTTCCTATAACTGGGCAACCAGAACTGGATAGAATATTCCAGAAGAGGCTGTACAACCTCAACATCCCAACTCCTTTATTCAAAGGACCGAGCAATGAAGGCAAGTGTGCCAAACGCCTTTTTAAACATCCTGTCTATATGTGATGCAAATTTTAAGAAATTACCACATTCCAAGGCATCTTCTGATTTCAAACCAACAATTTCAGAGTAGAAAGCAACCCTCTAACTTCCCCACTTTTAAATAATATAGATAAGCAAGGTGCCAATGAGAGGAAAGGCGACAGTCTTTACCGAAAGGGGGAAAATATTGACAAACAATGGGGCTGAAGGTGGACAAATCACCCAGATGTTATGGCCCGCATCTAATAGTTTTAAATGAAGTGGCTGCAAAGGTAGTGGAGGCATTGGTCAAATTATTCCAGAACTGACTGGATTCTGGAAGGGTACCAGCAGATGGAAAAACTGCTCATGTGACACCCCTGTACAAGAAGGGAGGGAGACAGAAAGCAGGAAACTGTAGGCTAGTTGGCTAACATCTGTCATTAGGAAAATGCTGGAGTCAGTTATTAAGGAAGAAACATCAGGATATTTAGAAAAGCTTAAAAGAGTCAACATGGTTTTATGAAAGGGAAGTCATGTTTGACAAATTTGCTAGAGTTCTTTGAGGATATGAGTTGATACAGGGGAACTGGTAGATGTAGACTTCAATTTCCAGAAAAGATTCAAATCAGGTTATTGCACAAGATTAGAAATCATTATACTGGTAATGTATTAGCATAGATCGTAAACTGGTTAGCAAAGAGAATTCAAAGTCGGGATTAATGGGTCTTTTTCAGGCTGGAAAGACGCAACCAGTGGAATGCCACAAGGACCTGGCCTTGGACCTCAATTATTTACGAGAGTAAGGTATCTAAATTTGCTGATGGCACAAAAATAGGTGGGAGATCATGTTCTGATGAGGATATAGAGAATCTGCAAAGGGGATATAGATAGTGGGCAAAAACCTACAGATTGAGTTTAATGTAGGGAAGTGTGAAATCATGTACTTTGGTAGGAAGAATCAAAAGGTAGACTATTACTGAAAAGGAGACAGACTATAAAAAATGTGAAGCTCAGAGGGATTTTGGTGTTCTTGTCGATAAAGCACAAAAGGTTAGCTTTCATGTGCAGCAAGTTATTAAGGAGACAAATGGAACTTCGTCTTTCATTGCTAGGGTTTAGAGTTTAAAAATAAGGAACTCTTATTACTACAGTACAGGTTAACTTAGCTGATTTCTGGAATAAAGGAGTTGATTCAGCAAGATGAACTAAAGGCGTTAGACTATTATTCACTGGAGTTCTGAAGAATTGTAACATCCAAGATTAGAGGACATAGTTACAAAAGAGGAAGACACTTGTTTAAAATGGAGAATGTGAAGGAATTTCTTCTCCCAGAAAGTAAAGGTCTGAAATTCTCTACTCCAGAGTTGTAGAGGCCAGATCATAAAAGTATTTGAAGGGCCTGTGATTAAGTTTTTGAGTTTTTAGGGAATGGAGGGCTATGATGAGCATGAAAGAGCGGTCGAGGCCTAGGGCAAATCAGCCATGCTCTTGTTGTTTGACAGGCAGGTTTGATGAACTGAATTGCCCACTCCTGCTCCCATTTTCTATGTTCTTGTGAAATTCCTTGTCGTTTTTGCTCAACACTTCCCAAAAAAAAAGAGATTAGGAATCACAAACTCAAGCCCTGCTGCTTCATAAGAGCAAGACAATGACAGTGTTAAATCAATGCAAAGGTTTATTCCTTCATCTTTGGAAAATTATTTTTTCATAAGTTGCCACGGTGCAAAAGCAGCAATTTGGGTTTCACCTTAATGCAAAAAGTAAACAAGAAAAAAAAAATAGCCGTTTTAAAAGTACTAATCCATAATCAAATTTATTTAATAAATTTCAGTAACTAAGGCAGTTGGCCAGCATTTGAGAAGTTTTAATAATTTATTGTTGAGCATATATTTATAACCTCTATTTGCCACCTCAGACCTTTGAGATGACAACTTGCATTCAAGCCAAAGCAGACAGGAAACTTAGGGGCAGTTGAAAAGGCTCCCTCAGTGCTGTTCTGTGACCAACTGCTGTATGTACTGAAGTACAACCATGGTGATTCTCCCACACTGGAAATGTACTAAAGTACTTAGATAAGATCCAATGAATTTTTGATTTATCAAATCCAGATAAGAACAAGGAGGAAACCTAGATTTCAAATCTGGTAACTGCACTTCTGCATACCTTGTGCATTATTGTCAGACGCCTGATTAATTTCTGTAGAATATCAAAGACAAATCATACCATCTCAATTTAAGAATCTAACTTCAGTTTTTTAAAAAAATTGGGAAATTAAAGTCAGGTCTAAGTGAATGTGAAATTGAATTATTGTGAAAATTTAGTAAAATACCACTTTTCATGGCCTAAAGCTATCCCAAAACAGTTTGAAACCAATTGAGTGTGCTTTCGAAGAATAGTCATTATTGTACAAAACCTGCCATCCCATCACTCTAAAGTGGTTGACTCAACTTTCCTCTGAAATGATCCAAACAAGCATGCCAGCCAGAAAGGTCAAATTTCATGTAGCAGTTTATACGAAAACCCCTCTCAGTATTCTCAGGGCAACTAAAGATAGGCAATGCAATTCGATATTTATTGTCACATTATTAAATTGCCACAGTCCATTTGGTATAAATACACGTACACTACTGTTTGGGAGGGATCTGCAGATTTCAACCAAGCAGTGATGGAATAAGACAGGGTGGTTGAGAGGTTGTAAAGTAACTTGTAGGTAGTGGTATTTTCATGCATCTGCTGCCGCCTTTGTCCTTCCAGACAGTAGAGATCACAAGTTTGAAAGGTGATGTCAAAGAAGCCTTGACAAGTTGCTGCAGAACATAATCTAATCTAAATGGTGTATACTTCTATCCCTTTGTATTGATGATGGAGGTTGTTTATGTTTAAAGATTTTGAAATGCAAGATTTCAGTGAAGTAATCCCCTTGTTGAAGCACCTAGTGATGAAAACAAAATGCATCTTTTCAACTGTCCTTGAATTCTTGCTACAATTTGAAGAAATGAAATCTCACCTAGTGAATCAATGAAGTCTTTGTTATTCTGGTAGAATTTGACATACGCTGCTAATTTTCCACTAACAAAAATCGTCAAGAGCTATTGAAAGGAAACAGATATATCAGGTTAATATAAATTCTACAGTGAAATTACAAAATACAAAATATCAGATGCACAATTAAAATGTTTTATTTATTTACACTGAACACTGTGCCTAATACTTAAACCAGAAACTAATTTGGAGAAAAAAAGTTGCTTGTGGCTGCTGAGAACTGTATCTGTCCTCCTCTGTATGGTTTCCAATCACTACCACATTCCTTTCATCCCTTTTGAATGGCATCCTGCTTTTAGCGAAAGTCGAGGGCTGAGGTTCCTCCATTGTTACATCCTGAATCCCTTCATCAGCCTTACCTATAGTCACACTCCCTTTGATCCCAGACTGACATATGGTTCTACTCAACCTAATGGGTGCGAATGCCTTCTAAAACAAAGTGTCCAGTTAACTCACCTCCTGCATCATGCCCTGCAATATCTGCCACTCAGATTCTGAAACAAAACTTCCTTGAGCTACAGAAACATGACCAGAGAATTAGTTCCAGGATCACAATCCTTTTCACAAATTCCCAAATACTGAAGTCACTGCATTTGTCATCGCAAACCTATTTAAATACCTGTTTTGATACCAATTTAAAGTAAAGTAATAACAAGTATAAATTTTCCAGCTTAGAGCAAAAGTCCTCATGACCCACTGGACGAACAAAAATAAATACAATTTTTTTAAAAAAACACCTCCTTCCCCCTTTAAACCCCCTCCTAATTTTAGCACTGCTTATGAAGCACTTACTCATCAATCACTGCTCCACACTGTGCAATCGGAAGTAGTATTTTTATACAGAGATTATAATTTTCAAATTATGGACTCAAAACAGCATTTGACACCACTACTCTTAAATGCATTTGGTAGCAAAAGGTATGAAAATACGTTCTACAACTTTCAGAATGGCAATATGTACAACCACTGTTTTGTGGGACTGAGTAAATTTGAAGCTGTGCACTCATATTACAGTATTGTGACTAAGTCCACAACTTCAAGCAAAAAAAATGCTGGAAAACTACATCAAGTCTCAAGAAGCTAATCACATATAGCCGATACCCAAGTAGCCCCAGTCTGATCTGAAATAGGCTGAAACAATCAATGCAAGATTCATGACAAGAAGCCCAAGCTTTGAAGTGAGCACTACAGTCCAAATTAAAATAGACATCAAACCCCCTGCATAGATTAGATTCTCTCAAATGCCACAAATGACAATCTGCTTCAAAAACTTTGTGCAGTATGCTTTCTTAAATTTTATTCATGGATGTGAGCTTCAATAGCTGACCTAACATTTTTTGTTCATCATGAATTACTCTCGAGAAGGTGCCTTCTTGAACTGCTGTAATTCATTTTGTGTAGGTGGACCTAAGATGCAGTTAAGGTAGGGACTTCCAGAATTTTGACCAAATGACACCGGAGGAACCATGCTGACATATCATGTTAGGTCTGTTTAGTGATGGTCTTGGCACACCCTCCTGCACCTTTCATTAAAACATAGTTGATCCTTGGCTGCATGGTAATGGTAGAGTTACGTTATGTCATGCCATGAAGTTACAGATTTTGGAGTACAATTCTGCTGTTGTTGATTGGCCACAGTGCCTCATGGATGCCCTGGGCTTGAGTTGCTATATCTGGAGTTTATCCCATTTAGCACAGTGATAGTGCCACACAATATGATAGAGATTATGGAAATGGATGGATTGTGCGGTGGTGATTCCCACTGATATTGTCACGGACAGGTGCATTAGAGGCAAGAAGATTGGTGAGAACAAAGTCAAGTGTGTTTTTCTCTCATCGGATTTTTCATCACTTGCCACAAACCCTATCTAGCAGCTATACCCTTTAGAATTTGGTCAGCCTGGTCAGTAGTGGTGCTGGCAAGCTACTCAGAATACATTCTGTAGCTCTGCCAACCTCAACACTTCCTCTAAATGGCAGCTTTGTGTGCGTGTGCGTGCGTTGGTGGGTGGGGGGAACAGCATAACATGCTAAATCAATATCATCAAGAGGCTTTCTTGCCTACTTTTGAACCAATGGCATGCCACAAGACTTCACAAGTAAATTAACGCTAAGGGCTCAAGTTTGTATCACATATAGATCATACAGGTTGGGTGGTTAAAAAGGCGTTTAGCACGCTTGCCATCATTGCTTAGTCCTTTGGATATAGGAGTTGGGAAGTCACATTGAGGTTGTACAAGACATTGGTGAGGCTTCTTCTGGAATACTGTGTCCAGTTCTGGTCACCCGGTTATAGGAAAGATGTTATTAAGCTAAGGAGGGTTCAGAAGAGATTTACTAGGATGTTGCCGGGTATGGAAAATTTGAGTTACAAAGAAATGCCAGATAGGCTGGACTTTCTTCACTGGAGATAGGAAGTTGAGAGGCGACGTTTGAGAGGTTTATGAAATCATGAGGAGTATAGATAGGGTTAATGGCAGGCGTCTTTTCCCTAGGATGGGGGATTTCAAGTCCAGAAGGCATTTTTGAAGGTGAAAGGAGGGAGATTTAAAAAAGACCATGGGGGCAATTTTTTTTTTTAAACATAGGTGGTGGTTTGCATGTGGAATGAGCTTTCATGCTGTATAGCTGTATTATTCTATGATTCTAAGTGGTAGATGGCAGGCATTGTTGCATTTAAAAGACACTTAGATAAGTACATGAATAGGAAAGATTTGGAGGGATATAGCCAGGAGCAAGCAGGTGAGACTAGTTTAGTTTGGGATTACGTTCGGCATGGACTGATTGGACCAAAGGCTCCATTTCCGTGAATCCCTGAGCAATTCCATCCCTACTGTGCCATTATCTTTGATGGGTCTGCCCTACCCACAACCTCAAATATGATGATAGTGTTGTTAGGGACATGGACGGTCAAAAATGATTCCAAGAGTATGATCTTGTCAGGCCATTGCTTGTCTGTGAGACAACTCTCGCAATTTTGGCACTAGCCTTCAGATGTTTGTAAGGAAAACTTATCAGGGTTGGTAGACTAAGTTTGACTCAGACTGTAGAAAACCCAAGTATAGAGAAATATAATTTAATGTACTGCATTAAAAAAATACAAATTCAGTACTGTGTGGGAATTGAACAAATGCCCAGTAATCCTGACTCTAATATTCCCATGGGGTTATAACAAAAAGATCAAAGGAAAGTTTGGGATCTATCCAGTAGTTGCAGTTGTACTTGACAGAGTATTGTATTAAGCATTATATAAAACTTTACCAGGCTCACATACAACACTAGTGATTTAAGGAACACTGCATTAATCTTAAAGCAATGCAACTCTATGATTACCACTTACTAAGAAAGATTACATTTCCTTTTAGAAAATGCACCAGAAATAACAGACAAACTTTAACAACAAATGGGTTCTCATAAATGGAATGATTTTAATTCTCATACTATGGCTATATAGAAAAGAACACAAGATGGAATACAGTTTGACCTAGTTCTCGTACCTAGTTGAACCACAATTCTTGTGCGCTCCTATCTCTGAGCCCAAGAAACCGGGATTTAAGATCCACCTGCACCGGTAGTGCATAGAAACACCTCTGAAGACATTAATTTAAAACAACTATTTTATGGGGCCCTTTTTTCAAGTCCCACCTGTTACAGAAGTGTGTAATAGCATCTATAAACTGGTTGATTAAAAAAAAAGGTTTATTTTTCCAGGGGCTCGTGTGTAGTCGTAGTGTCTAATAACATCTGAGCAGGTCGATGAGAAAAACGTATAAAGATAGAATCGCACGCCATTTACAGGCAAAATGTTCAGCCAGACCTTTTCCCTTCATTTTGTAACTTGTACAAATCAAAAATACAAAATACAAAAATCTCCTTAAACTAGTGCATGATGAACATCCTGATAAAATATGTAACCAATCTGCAATAGTTCGACTACTCACATCATGAATGAGCTCCCCTTCCAGAAATCGAACAGGTTTCAAAGCAAGAAGATGGTCAAAAAGAAATGTGTTTTGATCCTTCAATGCTCTTACAATGCACCTATCAGAGAGAAATTCAACAAAATATTTGCTTCTGCTACAAAATACTTCACTCAGCTCGAAGGCAGATGGAATTCAATTTGGATAAATGCGAGGTTTTGCATTTTGGTGAAACAAACAAGGGCAGGACTTATACAATTAATGGTAGGACCCTAGGTCGTGTTGTAGAACAGAGACACCTAAGGGTTCCAAATTCTTTGGAATTTGCATCACAGGTAGGCAGCATGGTTAAGAAGCCATTTAGCATGCTTGCCTTCATTGCTCAGACCTTTCAGTATAGAAGTTGGGACATGATGTAGCGGTTGTACAGGACATTGGTGAGGCCTCTACTGGAGAACTCTGTGCAGCTCTGGGTCACCTTGTTATGGGAAGGATATTATTATACCAGAGATGGCTCAGAAAAAATTTACCAGGATGTAGCCAGGTATGGAAGGGCTGAGTTATAAAAATAGGCTGGGACTCTTTCACCGTAGTGTAGGAGATTGAGGGGTGACAGAGAGGCTTATAAGGTCATGAGGGGCATAGATAAGGTGAAGCAAAGGTGGAGGGGGTATATTTTTAAGGGGAGAGGAGAAAGTTTTAAAAAGGACATGGGGGCAACTTTTTTTGTTTTTACAGAAGTGGTTAGTATGTGAAATGAACTGCCAGAGGAAATGGTGGATGCATCTACAGTTACAATGTTTAAAAGACATTTGGATAAGTACATGAACAGGAAAGGTTTGGAGGGATATGGACCAAATGCAGGTAGGTGGGACTAGTTTAGTTTGAAAACATGATTGGTGTGGACTAGTTGGACTAAAGGGTCTGTTTCCCAGCTGTGTGACTCTATAACCTACAATCAGTTGATAACTTGCAACACACAATTTGGTGGCATTTGAGAACATTTGTTACAGAAACCAAAACTACTTGAAAGGCAACTTTTTAGGTAACTTAGGTGGTGCAAATTGAAAAAGCAGAAAATATAAATGACTTTACCTGTGAGCATCAACTCTTGCCTGTGAAGCATTGTCTTCTGTATAGCTGCCTAGCAATTCCACCATAATTTTAGCTGCAGAATCACTGTCAAAAAGTTTTAACAATTCAGTACATAAACCAGAAAACAAAGGAATTAAAGCATATTCATTTCATCACATTTATAAAATCCAAGGGCAGGTTTGCATTCAAGGTTGAGTGGTGTTCTAATACTAATCACAATGTTTAAAATATTCAACGAAGTACAATAAGAAAAGGTATTTCCGTCAGGCTTCCTGCTCCTATGATGCTGCTTGGCCTGCTGTGTTCATTCAGCTCTACACCTGGTTTCCTCTGGGGGGAGATGGTTTAGTACCCAGAACAAGGGGACACACAATCTTCAAAGTTAGGACTAGGTGATTTATTGATAAAATATGAAAACAGATATTTATAAAAGGATAGTGGACATATGGAACAATCTCCTCGAGAGAGTCTGGATGCTAGGTCAATTGAAACTTCCAAGATGGAAATTTACGTAAAAGGCAGGATAAAGAATCATCTATCTGACTATTTAAATGCTGCCAAACCAGGCTATAGGAACTGAAGGCCTTTATCCATTTCCATAAATCAACAAATCTCTGGTGGTACTATTTACAATAAATCAGAGAATAAGCAGTTTTACAAGGTTACAATAGTTGTTTGGTAGTATAAAAGTTTGAATCATGATAAATAAAGAGAGAGAAATTCTGTTAAAAAAGTTTTTATCTGACACTCATCTGGACAGATGCAAGAATACTAAATTTCAAAGTGAACAACAAATTATACCACACGAGACGAGACATCATAATTCTGATTGGTTCGCAGTGGACTCATGTTGGTCAAGGCATTACCATGGAGAACACACCAGGAAACGTCTGTATCCCAAGAACTGTACTTTGCAATTAAATAAAACCTGTCTGAACATTATAAAAGCCTAATTTCTATGAAATGAAAACTGATTTCGATTGTAGGTAGGGTGATTTAGAAGTTGCAGAAATTGTAGTATTAATACTATTTTTGAGAGAGTTGTTTTGCTATGTATTATTTTGAAATTTAATGAGAAATGCAAAAACAGAAACATTTATTTTTAATAAAATTAAGATTTTCATTAGAAAATCTTAGATAGTTGCTTTAGAAAAGTAGCACATTTTAACATCAAATTAAGAATCTATTATGAACTATTGTGAAACTGAACAGATTGCCTGTAATTCTTACTGCAATAATCGCTTCAAATCTGGTGAAAATCATTGTCCTATTAACTCATTATAATGTGTTACTAGGTCATTATAGTCAATCTAGTGGTCCTGTTATACTTGCCACTTTGGCCCCACTGCTTCAAGCCCAGTTACTTTAGACAGTGATTCACATGTAATTCAGACTTTGAGACCTTTGCAAAAAAAAGGGGAAATTATTCTTTTAAGTTATGATGATGTGGAATGCCTGCCTAAAAAAAAACTGTGGCAAAAGCAAAATTCAATTGGTTAATGTCAAAAGGTAAAATTAGATGTAGACTTCAAAAGGAGACATTTACAGAGCTCTAGCGAGGCAGAAGGCTAGGGAAGTGGACAAATTAAATAGCTCTTCCAAAAAGTGAGCAAAAGCATAACTGTCACATTTCTGGCATTTTGCGTACCATGCAAATTCAATCTAATTTTACACTTTATCAATATGCATGTTAAGGTAATAAGAGAAGTCTGTTCCACCATTCAACAATGGCTGATTTGCTACCTAACTCCACATTCCAGTCTCTTTATAAGGATCTCTAGATAGTATAGGCCCAAACACTTTCATCTACTTCAATGACCTTCCTTTCATCATAAAGTCAGAAGTGCAGATGTTCACTGTCAACTGCAGCTTCCACTTATGTCTCAAATAATGATGCAATCTATGTCAACATATAACATGACCTGGCAATAATCAAGCTTGGGCTGATGGCTGCTAAGTGCTTTTTGTGCCGAACAATGCTCATTTCGAACAAGAGATGCACAAGCCTCTCCTTGACATTTAACGGCACTATCATTGCTGCATGCCCCACTACCAGCATTCTGAAGGATACCATCAACCTAAAACTGAACAGCACCTGTCAAACACATACCCCACAGAGACAAGCAAAGGTCTAGGCTCATCACAACTTCTCAAAACCACCTAGAAGGTGCAAGTCAGGAGTGTGATTAAATACTCGTCTAGACAAGTGCAGTTTCAGCAGTTTAAAAGCTCAACACTAACTCTTGACCACGTTCAATCTACTACCTAAAATTATTTACGTCCCTCCATTACTGGCCAGGGGAAGAGACAGAAATCATGGACTATGGTGCTGCTCCTGACTTGGCCCCCAACTAAAGCATAGTGCCTGCTGCGTACGTCTCTTACCTTATCATCTCAATGTCAGCAATGATGCTACCAAGAGTGCTAATTGTTTATTATTTAATAGAGTAACCGATGGTTTGTGTGGTCTGTCCCAATACAAAAAAAAATGAAGTGTGAAAATTTCTCAAGCCCAAGTGGCAGCCAAGAAAGGCAATTAAGCTAGGAACTACCACATACACTGTAGCAGCAGTGTGTACCATCTACAAATGCACTACAGCATTCACCAAAGCTTCTTAACTTTTAATCCATAACCTTGACCATCTAGAGAGCTAGGGCAGTAGGTGCAAGGGAGAACCACGAATGTAAGATTTCACCACCACCAACCCCACCGCCCCCCCCAACAACCACTGCTCCAGGTCTCTCACCATCCTGAATTAGAACTCAACTGCCAACCCTTTACAGACACCTAATCAAAATTCTGGAACTTCCGTTCTAACAGCACTACATGGACTGAAATGGCTTAAAACCATGTGCCAGAGTATTGCCATTTAGTTTAAGCAATCTTGCAACATTGAACTTTATATATATAGTGTTGTGCAGTTTGCATCATTGGGAAACTTGGCTATGTAGCTTTCTATGGTAATAAATGTAACCAATACTATAAAGGTCCCAGACAGATTGTTGTAGGACATCATTAGTCACACTCTACAAATTACAGTATTTGTCCACTACCCTTGTTCTGCACAAGATATAATTGCCTTTTAATTTCATAAGTTAACTTGTTTGCACTGGTACAAGAATAAAATCTCAATTAAGATGTAGAACTCCTAAAGGTCATCAGGGTGTTTCAAAGTGCACATATGCCATAGTTGTAATCTGCACTGACTTCAAATCCCAATTTCTCTCTATTCTTCAATAATGTTTCGTGCTTATATATTAAAGCCCCTGTACACACACAACCAGAGTGATTAGATGAACAAGTTACTGTTAACAATTCCAGGACAGGCAAGTTTGAGAGCTAGGAATGCTGTTGTATAAAAAGATATTCTTTTAAAGCAGTATGGAACTGCAAAATTTACCACACAGCAAGGGGAAATCATTTTGCAAACAAAGAAATCTTAAATCTTCATCTCAAGCATTACTTACTATATAGCTGACAAGAATCAGATTTTAATAAAAATCAGAATTAACAAGTATTGTTGAAGCTCCAAACCATACATGACAAACTTAAGCTTGACAACATTAAACTCCAATTTTCAACACATCATCTTCTTGCTCTAAAAGGGAGCTGACATAAAACACATTTTATCTTTTAAATTCGTTCTACTGATTTAGACAGTCATGGCACGAGAAAACTGAATCAAAAGTCATTTCAATGCATGAGTAGTCTGTGCATTTTAGTGCACACACACTTGTAATCTTGCCTCATTATTCATTTGGCAAAACATCTGTAAGTACGCAGAAGTTCAGCCTTGAAAAACACAAGAAATAAGGCCGCTTTCCCGTGAAATTTTAAGACTTGTTCTGAGTCACTTCCTAGGACATGCAGCTAATTCATACTTCATTGTGACATTCAAGTGGTTGAACATTTCCTTTCAAAACAAGTTAATATGACTTGCAGCTGCTTGGCACAAGGGAAAAAAAGTGGTGCTTCTGTTAATTAGAATGGAAGTACAGATTTATCTCCTTCTGCTAAAACCAGTACATCAATGCATCAAATTTGTTGCAATCTAGGTTTGCATTTTGGAGTGCTTTCTCAGGAAACTAGATCCAAATGTCTTGGAGTCTGACATGGTAAACTATAACCAACTACAAAAGGCATAAATTGTGTTCTATGTTACCCAGCTGTTGGTTTAAGCATGCAGATCAAAAGATTAAAACAATCAAAACTACAAAGTGAAAAAAATACAAAAATGCATACATCAAGTTTTATAGGATGTGACAACATCCCTGAGATACTGAACAAAATCAAAATGAGAAAATTGCAAAGCGAGTCGGTTTTTAAATTTGCCATAGTGATTTAACACTTCCAAATTAAAATATCATTGCAAGTGGATTTTAAAGAAAACTATTGTATGACTTGTTTCAGCAAGAAGTCTCACCAAACTGCTCGTGCTGGCTGTTTTAACAGAACTCCCACTTCCCTGCTCTTTCCCGGACATCAAAAGACAGCCAATGTTCCAAAAGAAGCAGGATATCAATGGGTGTCAGTGCAACAGTAGAAAACCAAAGTCATAGGGATTTGCTACCTTTATAAGCTGAAGGGGATCATTATGAGTTGCCAGAAGAACAATTTCAAATACCAACCCTTTCCATATTCTTGAAAGACTGGTATAGTTTTAACATTAACATGGCATCATCTGTGTGGTAAAGTTTTTAAGAGCAACTTTCTTGCCAGAATGTTCCTACATTCAAAAATTAGGAGAGAAAGGTGCATTAATGAGAAAAAACCAAGGTTAATTGACAGCAGTAACACTGAAAATTTGCAAATTAATGAGAAAGAGGAATTTAAGCGTTGTAGAGCACTACCACCAAAGTACCAATGCCAGAGACACAAAGACAAAAAGACTGAACATCACCAAGTTAAAAAGAAATATTTCTGGAGATAAAAAGTTGAATTTGGTTTAACAGATGGCTGGCTGTGATCTAAAACAGCACAAAACTACTTATGTTTGCGATTAGAACCAAAGAGGGCACTCCTCCAAGGAAATTATTGAAAAATACGCTCTGTACTCAAAGAAAATACTGATTCGGCTGAGTGATTTGAAAGTGTTCCTAGTACAATTACACCTTGCATTAAGCAATAGTTGAATTTTAATCTTTTGTTGTTACACCAATTTATCAAATTTTAATCATCCAACATACTGATTTCTTGTAAGTACATATGCCAACCAAATCAACAATAGGTGGGTAGCACTACTATTTAAGAACACAGTAACAGGAGTAAGTCTTTCAACTCTGTGAATCTTGAGATGACATCTGATCTGCTTTCAATTCCATTGATTGACCTTGAAAATACAGGCACATTTGCAGTTATATAGTGCCTTTCATGACTGCTGAACAATCAGAAAGTATTGTAGCAGGAAGTGCGGTGGCCAACCAGTTCCCACAATCGAATGTAGGAATGACCAAGATCCATGATGTTGACAAGGGATAATCACTCAGTTCTCCTTCAAAATAGTGTCAGGAGTTACATCTACATTAGAGGGAAGAGAGAGCATTGTTTTAATGCGTCTTCTGAAAGATGAGACGTCAGACACTATAAAGTGGTATGCTGGCCTTGACTTTATGCTCAAGTCCTAGAGTAGGACTTGAAATTCAAAAGCTGCTGACTCAACACAAAGTGCTGCCAACTGAATTAACTTGTTTTGGCAACCCTCAACACTGTTAACAATCACATACAACTTTAAAAAAAACTGCAATTAACCTTAAACTGTAGTTATTTTTTGAGGTGGGGGAAGATTTCCACCATCCTGTGTATAATGCAGTACTTCCTGATATCACCGCTGAACGGCCAAGCTCGGATTTGTGCCCCCTTGTTCGGGAAGGATTGCTGCTCTTTTGAATGGCACTAAGCATCTACACAATCAACAAATGATATTCTGGATTGTGTGCAAACCAAGCACCACATCTTGGGCACAAGGTGACAGCAATGAGCTGCTCAAGCACTGCTGTTATTCCAACGCTTTGATGTGCAACTGTTATGCAGCTCACCACTTGTTGTGTTATTCCATATGTGGACCAAATATAATCAAAAATTAGAAACAAGGAACATTTACTTGATATAGAATATCTGATGAAGCTCAAGAGCCAGTGGTGATCATGCTACGATTTAAGTTTAGGGCAGTATTTGAGCAATCAGATTTAGCAATCAGATTAAACTGACAGAACCCAGGCATACTTCACAGCTTTACTATCCATAAAAAGAGTTGACTGAGGGAAACAGCTTTGAGTTTCTGCAATTAATTTCTTCTAAACAACTGATTCTATTCATTACAAAATGTGAAATCACACAAAAAAAGTGTCTCACAGTAGTATCACAATCTTTAGTGAATAACCCATCTAGCTCACTAATGCCCTTCAGAAGAGGAAACCTGCTGCCTTGCCTCAATGAGTTACAACAACACTCAAGAAGCTTGACACCATTAAGCACAAAGCAAACCCAGCACCATATCTACAAACATTCACTCCCTCCACCAATGATGCTCAGTAACAAGCTACCAAATTATATGAAATCACTTGCATCAAAAAGTAAAACATAAACTGACCAAAACTACATCCAGCCTAGATAATCTTGTAAATTAGTCCTCACTATCTGGGATTTTTAGCCAAATTGGGAAGGTTACCCAGAATCTTGTCCTTACATGGTCCTATTAACCAAATCATACCTTACAGCAACCAGTGTTACCATAAACATACTTCAGTACGCCTTACACCATCAGCAGGACAGACCCAGCAGAGGCACCATCACAATGGTATATTTAACAGGGAGCAGCCTGAGAAATACTGAATGTTGACTCCAAACCCCATGAAGTTCATAACATTAGGTCAAATCTGCATCTGGGAAACAAAACTTTCTTCTGGTTTTTACAAATCACCTTCTTTCAGTTGATAAACCCATTTTCCATCATGTTGAAAACCATTTGCAGGAAGCAAGGGGGTAGCAAAAATTAACATCAAGGAATGAAGGTTAATGTCAGTAGCTCCACTTATGACAGTCCTGAAGACGTATCTGCCAGTCTGGGCCTGCAGCTAAAATCTACTTCATTGTATCCTCAGCAATTTATCCAAAGATGCATATGTCCACTGCAGTCCTGGTAGGAGTAACCGCTGCACTGACTTTAGAGATCAAAGCCTGTTTCCACACTAAGAACATCCATTTTGGATTGTGAAGCACTTCCATCATGTTAAATGGGATCAATTCAAACCAGAATGTGCAGCTCTAAACTGATATTCAGGTGACTCTGTGGTCCATCAGTAGGAGAATTGTATTCAACCACAATGTGTAACTTTATTGTCCAGAATATCCCTCGGTCTAGAAGCACATCAAGCCAGGGAATCAATCTTCATTCAATGAGAAATGTATACAAATAGGAGCAACAAACATACCTTAAAAAAAATCCAACCTCATGAACTTACAACACAGGACTACACGCATGTGAGACAGCAGCAAGTGGTCAGCACTCCCCCAACTTATAGATCAGATCCAATTCAATCATCAGTGAGGTGGACAGTTAAACAACCAACTGGAAGTGGTGCTCCACAAACAATCCTCAATGACAGAGCCCAGTACACAAATGAAAAAGACAAGGCTGCAGCATTTACAATAACTGTTTAGCCAAAATTGTAGAGTGAATGATCCATCTTGGCCTCATCCTAAGGTCCTCAACATCACAGGTCTTTAGACATTTAATTTACTCCAGCTGATATCAAGAAATGGATGGATGCATTGGACACAAATATTTCACCCCATGGAATGCAAGCTTTTTTTAAAATTAACCTGCTCAGAGACATTATGACACAGTTCTTGGGGCAGGTGGGTCTTGCACCCAGGCTTACCTGGCTCAGTGGGAGGAACAGTTCGGGGTAGCATTCTGAACCCAATCATCATCAGCTGCTTCATCAATGACTTCTCTCCATCAAAAGGGAGGAAGTGGAGGCACTTTCTAATAATTTCACTGTGGCCTGTACCACTAGTGTTTCAGATGCTGAAGGAGGTTCTGCACAACATTCAAACTGAAGTTGGTAGCCGTTCCCAGCAACTTATCATCAACGATAGAATCTAACCATCTTATGACATTCAAAAGCATTTGTATCACTTATCACTGAAATCCTGGGGATCACCACAGTCTAGAAACTTACTTGAATCAGTAATATAAATACTGGAACTATGAGAGCAGGTCAGAGACTTGGGCTCCTGTGGCAAGTAACTCAACTCACAATTGCCCAAAGTTTGCCCACCATCTACAAAGCACAAGTCAGGAGTAAGGTAATGATCCTACTTGCCTAGATGCATGCACTCCAACAACATTCTAGACGTCTAACACTATCCAGGAAAAACCTGCAACCTTCACCACCTAGAAGTACAAGGATGGCAGACAGGAGGCAATAGCACCACCTTCTCCAAATAAAGGTGTGAATTTATAAACTCTATTACCACTCCTTTCCCATTGTTGGGTCAAAGTTCTGAAAGTCTTACTCTAACAATGAGCATTTTTACATCAAATGGACTGCAGCAGTTAAAAGCAACAAGAGTATCAACATCCAGGATGGTCAATAAATGATGGATGTTGCCTGCAATACTTGCATCCCTATAGCAAACTTATAAAATGTTTTCCCCATTAATGCAGTCAAGGAAAAAATATTAATATGTAGTTTTTGGTTTAATTTTTGTCCCAATCTATACACACAGATAGGATGGGAGCAGTTAGCTCTGGAACTGATAGGAGCAAGACAACAAGCTCCTCTCTCTCTCGTTATCTCTTTCAACCTCAAAATCAGTGTTCAGTAAAAATGCAACTTGGGATAACAACCATTCATAGAGAACAACTCTACAAACTTTGCCAATGCTGCAAACTATGAGTAATTAATTAAACAACTGGTTTCAGGTTTAAAATCTAATACTTCAAAGACTAAGGTCTTTGAAACTGTGCAGCTTTATTTCTGCCTGTCTGTATCGGATTCCCTTCAACACATTACCTGGGTTTGTGCACTTTTTTTTTAAACATTTCTTTTCAGGGTTTTAGATAACAAAATTCCCCTTTCTTACAATCAAGTGACTCCTTATATCTGATTTAGTTAACTAAATAATTGAAGTCTAATAACATAGCTGCACTCTAAACGCTTAAAGACGGTTTATTGTTTTTGATTGAGTGGAGTCAAAATAGGAGCCAATCACTCCTTCTTACCTGGTAATACAATACCATTGGTAGAGAAAACAGCTCCACATCTTGACTCAATTTACCCACATGATGCAAAAGTCTCAAGGTTAGAAAACATTCAACCACATTTATTATTAATTACTCCTGTAATTAATTCATTTTTCTTTACTAAATCCAAATACCTTTTTTTGCAATCCACCAGCGCTTCATAAAGCAATCGGAGAACATGGTGTTTCTTGTCTACACTGAGATTCCAATCTGATATCCATTTGCGAACCTAGGTGAAAATCATTAACTTATTGACTGATCATTGTCATTGCATCCATTATATAGATCACTGGGCTATGAAAGTAGATGCAATGGCAGCCCATTAGAAATTTCTACATCCGATGTATTATTGATACATAACCAACATACCAAAAAGTAAGTCTGTGTAAAAGTAAATAATCCATACATTCCTCCTTCAACAATACTTTATGCCTCAGTATAAATATCAATACTGAAGATGCCTCCTTCAAAACCAGCCACAAGAGAGTCCTCCAGCAGTTGAACAATACCAAAGCTGCAAAGTGCACATACCTGGTTTAGCACACTCAGTGAAACACCATTGAAAATATTCTGCCAACCAAAAATATCGGGTATGGTCCAAAATAAATTTTCTTCACATTACCTTGACTGGGCAGGCACCAAAGCATAAACAGCAAATGACACTAATGAAAAGCATATGTAGAGCCAGTGACTCACCTGGTCAAGATCAGAAGGAATATACTGGATAGCATTACAGGATGATGCCACTTTGATGAGACTACAGTATACAATATACCTGGCTGGAGCGTTCTCCTCCATTCCATGAAAAAGATTACGCAGCCTAATTTAAAACAAGACCAACATTTACATCAGATAGCAATAAATAATAAACACAGAACAGCATTCTAGAAATGACAACTTTTACTTGCAATAATTTTTTAAAATAAAAATTTCATCCTTTCAGAAAGTGAACAATTTCCCAAGTTGTCTCAGCATAAGCATAACTATGTCACAATCTGTCAGGTGACGGAGGGAAAAATTGTTTTCCAGTCTCTGCCAAGGAAGAGTACAAGAGTGGTATTACTGCTAGCCTATTAACCCAGAAACTCAGCTAACGTCCTGGGGACCCAGGTTTAAATCCCAATAAGTCAGGTGGTGGAATGTGTATTCAATGAAAAAAAATCTGGAATTAAGAATCAACTGATGGCCATGAAACCATTGTTGATTGTTGGGAAGTCCCAGATGGTTCACTAATATCCTTCAGGGTAGGAAATCTGCCATCCTCACCTGGTCTGGCCTACATGCAAGTCCAGACCCACAGCAATGTGGTTGACTCTCAACTGTCCTCCGAAATGGCCGAGCAAGCTATTCAGCTGTATCAATTGCTGTGAAGTATCAAAGAAATGAAACCAGATGGACCACCTGGCATTGACTTAGGCACCAGAAAAGGTAATGGTAGAAACAGTCCTGACAACGCTAAAAAGTCCTCCTCACTAACATCCGGGGGTTAATCCCAAAATTGGAAGAGCTGTCTCAGACTAATCAAGCAACAGCCTGACATACTCACGGAATCATACCTTACAACGTCCCAGATACCACCATTACATTCCTGGATATGTTGGTCCCACCAGCAGGACAGACCCCGCAAATGTGGCAGCACAGTGGCATACAGTTGGGAAAGAGGGAGGTGCCCTGGGGGCCCCAAACATTTGCTGCAGACCCCATGAAATCTCATGGCATCAGGTTAACCATGGGCATGGTAAACTCCGGCTGACTACAATACAGTCCTCTCTCAGCTGATGAATCAGTACTTCTCCATGTTGAGCGACACTTAAAAAGAGGCACTGAGGGTGGCAAGGGCACTCAAAATGTATTCTGGGTGGGGGATTTCAATGTCCAATGTCAAGAGCGGCCCTGCAGGAGCACTACTAATTGAGCTGGTCGGGTCCTAAGGGACATAGCTGCTAGACTGGGTCTGCAGCAGGTGGTGATGGAACCAACAAGAGGGAGAAACATACTTAACCTCACCCGGCTGGCTGCAGATGTCCATGACAGTATCGGTAAGAGTGACCAATGCGCAGTCCTTGCGGAGATGAAGTCCTGCCTTTACATTGAGAATAACCTTCATGTTGTGTGGCACCATCACGGTGCTAAATGGGACAGATTTTGAACGGATCTAGCAACTTAAGATTGGCCATCTGTGAGAAGTTGTAGGCCAACAGCAGCAGAACTGCACTCCAGCATAATCTGTAACGTCATGGCCTGGCATGTCCCTCACTCAACCATCACCATCAAGCAAAGGGATCAACCCTGGTTCAATGGAGAGTGCAGGAAGGTATGCCAGGAGCAGCATGAGGCATACCTAAAAATGAGGCGTCAACCTGGTGAAGCTACCAAACAGGACTACTTGCATGCCAAACTGCATAGGCAGCAAGTGATACACAGAGCTAAGCGATTCCACAATCAATTGATCAGATCCAAGCTCTGCAGTCCTGCCACATTCAGTCATAAATGGTGGTGGACAACTGAACAACTCTCAGAAGGCAGCAGATCCACAAATATCCCCAATGATGGAAGAATCAAACACAAAAGTGCAAAAGATAAGGCTGAGGCATTTGCAGTAATCTTTAGCAGGAAGTGCCGAATGGATGATCCATCACAGCCTCCTACAGTGCTCCCCAGCATTACAGATACCAGTTTTCAGCCAATTCGATTCACTCCACATGATATCAAGAAAAGGTTGGAGGTACTGGATACTGCAAAGTCTATGGACCTGGACAACATTCTGGCAATAGTACAGATTTGTATTCCAGAACTTGCAGCTCCCCTAGCCAAGCTCTTCCAGTACAGTTACAACACTGGCATCTACCTAACAATGTGTAAAATTGCCCAGGTATGTCTTGTACGTAAAATACAGGACAAATCCAACCCGGCCAATTACCGTCCGATCAATCTACTGTTGATCATCATAAAGTGACGAAGGTGTCATCAACAGTGCTAGCAAACAGCACCTGCTCAGCAACATCCAGTTTGAGTTCTGTCAGAGCCACTCAGCTCCTGATCTCATTACAGCCTTAGTTCAAACACGGACAAACGAGCTGAATTCCAGAGGTGGTGACAGTGACAGCCCTTCACATCAAGGCCACATTCGAACGAGTGAGGTATCAAGGAGCCCTACCAAAATTGGAATCAATGGGTATCAGACAGCAAACATTCCACTGGTTGCAGTCATACCTGGCACATAGGAAGATAATCTTGGTTGTTAGAGGTCAATCATCTCAGCTCCAGGACATCTCTGCACGATTTCCTAAGCCCAACCACCTACAACTATTTCATCAAATGACCTTCCCTCCATCATAAGGTCAGAAGTGGGGACGTTCAATGATGACAACACAATGTTCCGCACCGTTCACGGTTCCTCAGATACTGAAGCAGTCTGTGTTCAAATGCAACAAGATCTGGACAATATTCAGGCTTGGGCTGACAACTGGCAAGGAACATGCGCGCCACACAAATGCCAGGCTATGACCATCACCAGTAAGAAACAAATAAACAAACAAACAAACAATCTAACCACTGTCCCATGTCATTCAACAGTGTTACTATCACTGAATCCCCCTGCTATCAACATCCTGAGGGATACCATTGACCACAAACTTAACTGGACCTGCCACAAACAGTGGCTACAACTGCAGGTCAGAGACTAGGAATAGTATGGCCAGGAACCCATCTCCTGACTCCCCAGAACCTGTCCATCATCTCCAAGACATGTCAGGAGTGTGATGGAATACTCTCCGCTTGCCTGGATGGGTGCGGCTGCAACACTCAAGACATTTGACACCATCCAGGACAAAGCAGCCCGCACCACATCCACAGTCGTTCAGTAGTACACCCTGTTGCTATCTATAAGATGCAATGCAGAAATTCAAATATCCTTACACAGCACCTTCAAACCCACAACTACTTCCAACTAGAAGGACAAGGGCAGCCAAAATACAGAAACACCACCAACTGTAAGTTCCCCCGTCAGCCACTCACCATCCTGACTTGGAAATATATCATCATTCCTTCACTGTTGTTCCATCAAAATCCTGGAATTGCCTCATGACTGGTATTGTGGGTCAACCCCTATCAGGTGGACTGCAGCGGTTCAAAAAGACAGCCTTCTCAAGGGCAACTAAGGATGGCCAGTGAATCTCGCATCCCACGAAAAAATATGTTTTAACAATGGTTTTTTTTGATTTTTCACTACTTTAACCAGGGGTCAATTGAATGGTGGATATTTGTGCGATGTAGCCTGGTTCATTTAACAGAGAAAAGAATGGAGGAAATAAAGTTCTGAAGATACTTACCTCTAAAGATACTTACCTACAATATTTAATAATACTTCTATCTGCAGGATTAGAGAAAACAAATTTAGTGCAGATATTTAGACCTTCCTTATTCAAGGATGACAAATGGTGGGAAATAACTCAGGCAAGAGGACGACTAAGGTCTTCTAAAGTTAGGTGAAGTGATTTGGCCATGAAGGAAGCTGCTTTATTGGAATTATTGACTTACTATTAAGGCATTTATGAACCTTAATTTACCTGCAACACACTGCTGTGTTTAGTAACATAACTATTTTGACTCTTTTTTTGAAACTGCATAAATAATATAAACAAGTTGGTAATTTTCCTTTTACATTCAAAGAGACTCAGATGGTATGAACACAAGGTAAATTGTATACTCACAACTGCAATCTGAGAGATGATCGCTCACCATCACAAGCTTTCAGCAACTTCTCACACAAGTTTTCAGTCAGTGCTTCCTGCTTTTCAGTCTCCAGAATTAGGAGAAGAGACACAATGCTGTTCATCACACTTTCCACATCTGCATAAAGAAACAAAAAATATTAAACAGGGTAGCAACAAGTTCAATGGATCTAACTCTCAGGCAAGCATAACACTTCAGCCTGTCTCAATGTTTCATCAAGGCCCTTTGAACAAATCATTGCTTAAAATCAAGGTCCTTAAACAGAAGTAGCAGTAACTTTAAAGTGAGCCAGATGATTAGTGAGCAGACAAACCTTTGTCATCTTCCTTGAAACATACATCACAGACTTCAATGATGTGTGCAAGGTCAACGTGTAGTCCACCTTCAGAGTTTTCTTCTGAAATTTCAGCTCCTTTTGACTTCAGGTAGGATCGAAGCTCAGAGGCCTGGGAAAATTTATATAGGCTTTCAATTTTTTTCCAGAAACCCACAACCTCCTCATATTTTACATTGTGAAAGTAAGAAAACTTCTCACACAGATTCAACTCGAGAGTGTCTGATGCATCTATAACCAATTGGTTCTGTAATGACAAACCTGAACTAACTTCAGCATCAGCAATTCATATGTCATGAAGTTAATTAGAGACTGAAATACACAAATCAACAGTCTCTTGGGGAGCATTCTTTTTAAAAAACAGTGCACAGAGTTGGGGTCCCTGTCCCTCGCAAAGGGCAAAACATCATGATATTGCAAAGTGAAGAGACATTGGAATACCAAGGCCACGAAGATATTGCAGTATTCATAGCTGCAGATGATCCACATCCCTAACCAACCATGGTCTCAGATTACAACATAACTCCATAAGGACACTCTAAGAACTTTAAACTGAATAATCTTTCATCTTCATTTCAGACTGGATACTATCACTTCTTTTTTTACTTTATGTTAATGTTTGTGTGCACAATTGATGTTGTGTCTTTGTATTTGTCGGGGCTAAGAAGTAATAAAATTGCTCTTCCGTTCACTCAAGAAACCACTGTAACTGGCTCCTTATTTGTTTCCGGTGAACTGGCTAACTATATTTTGAATGATTTGAGGTTTAGCTGTGTGCTATAAAGATCATTAAATCTTTGTTGTGGCCAATTAGGAAATGGTTTTAACAATATTTTGACAAAATGACAAGAAATTGAACCAGCAATGAGGAAATTTTACAATGAGGAAAGACCTATTGTTGCTTATTATGCAAGATATTTCACATGTATTAGGTTGCAATTTATTCAAAGCAACAACATGGGAGGTCCTTTAACATTCATAGAAATGTCTAGCGGGACTGGATTCAGACTTCACAAGTTATCCAGAGATCAAAAAATTCAGGAATAAGAACAGAAGTTGCTGGAAAAGCTCAGCAGGTCTGGCAGCACCTGTGAAGAAAAGATCAGAGTTAACGTTTCGGGTCCGGTGAC